ACATCTTTTGTTGGCTGTGATGTCAAGCATCAATAGAATACAATGGTTGGGAACATGAGTTCGAAGTTAGAAATCCCAGTGGTCAAATTCTATCCTTCCACTTGCCAGTAGCATGATCATGGAAAAGTGATTTAACCTCAGTTTTCTCATCTGGATAATGGGAATAATGAAACCCACGTCCAAAATAATTCCAGGAGACACACATTCGTGCCATGAAGTCACCTTTGAAACCATGGCATCTGCCACCATTTTTGTCTTCATGAAGCAAATTGTCTTCATAGTTCCTAGATGGCATTAAGGGTAGCTTCAAAATGGTTACACCTTCTGCTTCTCAAAAGAATTTGTCCTTCCTTACTCTCATCAGCTCTTTCTTTTATTTCAAAAATACAAAGATTTATTTGTTGGAAGGTAATTGAGGCACCAGCATGATCCAACAAACAGCTACAGATGGTTCTCCTTGGGACTGAAGGCGAAGCTCCTCACAGAGATGCTGTGGAATCGGCACTGCCACTGGACCATTCCTTCCCACTTCTCTTTGCCAGACTGTTGCTGGCAGCAGGGCTCTCCGGAAGTTTCTAGCCTCAGGAGAGAGGTGGTGCCAACTGCACCACCATTGCATCTTTGCCCATTTATCACTCCTTGCTTCCTTTTTCGTAGTTGGTGATAGACTATTCGGCTTCTAACTTAGTCATCCATTTCTTTCTTTCTTTCTTTTTTGTTTGTTTCTATGGATAGGCAATATGAAGATTATCCTCTTTGGGGAGGTGAAGATAGCACAATTATTTTTCCCCCAGGATCATTAATCATACCTTTAAGGAACACAAGCATTTCTTTCTCTGGTTTTGCATGTTAGCTTCCCAGTTGAAATGTGCCATTCAGTGGACAGTAGAAACTGAATGGAGAAGCCAGGAGACACAGGCTGGTAAGCAAAGTGACATAGCTGCATTTTTCCTGGAAGGGAGTGGAGGGTGGGGGTAAATTCCTGAAATCTGAGAGCCTTAATATGAGTATGTGCCTCCTTCCCCACCACCTGCCTCTCTCTCACTGGAAGGTCCCTCTGGAGGCTTCTCCCAGCATACAGGGGAAGTGTGCATTTGAAATGGCACACTTATCTTGCAGTTGCAGAGGAAGCTTTTGTTTTCTTTTTCTCTTGCTGCATTAAAGTATTTGTCTTTCTTTCTTTGTAGTGTAATATTGTTAATGTAAAACAATTTGCATCATGACACTTTTATCACAGTTTTCGTCTTTTTCTCAGTATGTTGCATTTCTCACCATGTCTAGTTCATCACAGCTACAGTGTGTACATCACAACATTTATCTTAGGCTCAGGGTTTTACTTGTTTATAAAAATTGTCTTCTTTCAGCCTGTATTCACTCCATTTAAGAAAAAAAAAAAAAAAAAAAAGGCAGCCAGAAACTGTTTTGGTCCAAACTCCAGTAGTTATCACATTCCTTGCTAACTGTCCTGTGTATTTATATGTCTCCTAACTATTACTCTGTGTTTCAATGACATTTCTCAGCTTCATGGCACTGGGGGTGGGGGGGAGGGGTAGAGGGGGAGCTGGAGGCTCAGCTTTGGCTGTTTGTGCTGCAAGCAAGGCAGGCCTGTGAGGCTGTTGGAGGTGAGGCAGTTGTATATCTGGGTCAGGTTTAGGTGTTAAAATTGACTATGTTCTGTGAGCAAAGAGCTGAATTTAACTTGGGGAGAAATAAGGTGAGCAGAAGTCAGCATGGCCTGAGAGCATGACAAGCAGAAAAGATCATTGCAGAGGACTCTAAAATGCACCTGGTTCTGCAACGCAGAATATTGAGGTTTGAGCCTCTCCTGCCTCCAGCTTTGAATGGTGTATGGCAAAGCCTTTTAGGGAGAGATTTATTCTACCCTTTCCTCTCTAAAGGGCAGGTAATTGCTCATAGTTCTACTGCTACCTCAGGCTATATATCACAGGCATAATCAGAGTACATGGCTCCCAAATCCCACAGGGCTGTTCAGACCATTCTCTCTTCCAATTAATTCCATGTGAGAAGCCACGGCGTCTTAGGAGCCAGAGTACCCACTATCATTTTGTATGTCAAGTTCCAGGACAGTTAATTAACGTTTGATTTCACACTGTTCCTTTGCTGGGAGACGAATCATAAGCAGCTTGGAATTTTAGACGAGATGACATAGAAACATAGAAAGTAAAGGGGTTTTCCTGTCAGACTTTGCTCAGCTCTTGACAGTTTTTATTCCTTTTTCTTTTCTTTTTCTTTTTTTCTTTCCTTGCGGTACTGGCGTTTGAACTCAGATCCTTGCACTTGCTAGGTAGGTGCCCAACCACTTGCACCATGCCTCGGTAGCACTTTTGGTTTTAATTACATTTTGATAGCATCTTGTGTTTGTGCCTGTCTAACCTGATCTTGATCCTCCTATTTTTACTTTTTATGCAGTTGGGATGATTAGATGCATGCTGTGACATGCTGATTTTTTAATTGACTGAGATGGGGAACTTCACAAAGTTTTTACCCAGGCCAGCCTCCAGCTGTGATCCTCTCAATCTCTTTCTCTAGAGTAACTAAGAATATAGGCACGAGTCTCCACTCCCTGACAGCTCTCGTATTTTCTTTTTTTGGGTTTTTTTTTGGGGGGGGGTTCTGGTCATGGGGCCTGAACTCTGGGCCTGGATGCTGTCCCTCAGCTCTTCAGCTCAAGGCTAGCACTCTACCACTTGAGCCACAGCACCACTTCCGGCTTTTTTCTTTTTGCTTATATGGTGCTGAGGAATCGAACCCAGGGCCTCAGGTATGCAAGGCAAGCACTCTACCACTGAGCCACCTTCCCAGCCCGAAGCTCTCATATTTTCTATAGGTAGATCTTGGTTCAGGCTGTTTAACATTCCAAATCAGTGTATCATTACTAAGTAGCACTGGCATGTATCTACTTCACACACTTGTTATAAGGGTTCTATGCATCAGAGCTTTTAGAATTCCTTCATGATATTTAACACTGTGTTAGGCTCAGAATAATTAATGAACAATAGCTATTATTCTAACGGTGTGGTATATGGTTTGAAAGTGGGAAAATTATCTCAATAAACTGCAGAATAACCACTTCTGCAACTGTAACCTCTATACATCACCTTAATGATAACTATTTTTAAAAAACCCTGCAGAATAAGAATATTTTACTTTTCCTATCTTAAATGTTTCCACTAGTCTGAGCAAAACTAGGACCAAATAATAGTGGACAGTGCATATGTTTAATAATTTATTTTACACAATATGTTGTACTGTACTAGATGCTAAAATAATGATTCTAAATAAGTCCCTTTTCTTATGGCTTTTGCCATTTAGATACAAGTCCATATTGTTTGACTAGATAAAAGCAATGAAGGATCGGTGAATGAGAGGTAATGTTGAGATGGATGGATAGATGGATGGATTCACACAGGGTATATTTATCTGGAACATCTCACAAGGTGACAAGCTTCTCCTACAAAATAAAATTGATGTGTGACTTTTAATGAGTCTTGGGTTTTTGTTATGAAATTTCATAAATGAATTCTAAATTTGAGTCACAAATGGAATATGGTCAGGATGAATTTGAACTAGTCTACACAAAAATAAGAGGACATGAACTCTGAGCTTAGGAGGAGAGGATGATTTGGGGAGCCTCAATCCATGAAGACATTTTAGATAATTCAGTCCTGAAATCATAGACAAGGTGTCCTTTTCCAGAAATACTGTGTAACATAATTCTCATACCAATACCTGCAATTTAGCTTCAAACATGCTTTGCCATGTCTCATTATTTCTGTTTCTGTGAGGGAAGTAAAAGGAGCTAGTCTCATTTCCATTTTACAGAATTCAAGGCTTAGTGTGCAGCAGGTCTGTAGCTGTACAGCTTACTAATACTGAAGCTGAATCTAGAATATGAAAGCTGTATTTCAACCCTTTCCTGCCAGACCACTAGGTTGTCCATAAAAAATACTCACATTAGCTACAAAGATATCTTAAAATACAACATCTTGACTCTCATGAAATGTCACCGAGGTCCTGCAGGATCAGCTGGCTACTTTGAAATGCAATACTGACACTATGGCCTTCCCCCCCCCCCCATCAATCAATCAAAGTTGACTCTAGCTCACCACCTCCCCAACCTATCTAGCATCTTCTCCTTCATCCCAACTTTGTAAATACTGTAAATTAAAATCAGATGACCAGTTCTATCCTTTTAAGATATTTTCCTTTCTAAACCTCTGATTCAGGATACAGAGCCATCTTCAAAAAGCTACCCTTTCATTAAGAATAAAATCCTACTTCACTTGGTACCTTGGGAATGGCTTTATCTAATAGCTTCATTTTCTCCAATATACAGAATGAAAGAAGCAATAACTCACTGATTTTTTTAAAGGCCACTCTTGATCTTTTTCACCCTTCTGCCCTCCCATATGTTACGTTTGTCTGGGTTTTAAACATCTGTTCTCAAAGGGGTAATATTTGCTTTTCGTTCCGAACCTAGCAATGTGGACCAAAGTTCACATGACATATTGCAGAGTATGTTTAGTTGCAAATGCTATGTACGGGCTCTTTGAAATGTAGCATGTATGGCACCATGTGACACACGGTTGCCATGGTGATACACATTTTGGCTGAACTACAGCAGAAGCCCATGGAACATACATTGCTAATACGAGACTCTGCCCTGTGTTAATGTATAGGACACAGCCAATCTGGGATTGGGACCCAGGGTTTTTTGAATGCAGCCTGGGTGGCAGGTGCCCTCTTCCTTCATGAGAGGGAAGATGTGGCATCCTCCCTTTGCAGCCCTGTCTTCCAGGCATGGGGCAGGCTGTGCATTCTGCCATGCATGGAGACAGCATTTGCTTGAATATCGGTTTGCTATATTTTGTATCAAAGGGGGCCCCAGCTGAAAACATTTTATTTTGTAAACTGAAGTGAAAAATCAGTTTATGGCAGATCCTTTTTTGAATAATGACATTCTTTTTTCCCAATTCCAGAATTCAACAGTCATGAGCAGAGCTGAAAATTTTAAACAAGTTGAGTACCTCCTTATTCATGGAACAGCAGATGGTGAGTTTCAGTTAATTAGACTTTTTAGTATCACAGACAGGTTTGCAATTTCACTACTGACAAAACAAAAGCATGAGGGGCAAGACTGTTACATTTACTTCAATAAAACAGTGTTGCTTTCCACAACTCACTTGTCTTGGGCTAAATGGGATGCAGAGTCCTAGAACTTCAAACAGTCCCTTTCTTCTGGGGCCTTTCCCACCCTTGGCCCTCAGAAAAATGGAGAGGTGATTAGCTACTTGTTTCCTTTCTCTCTCTGCAGATAACGTTCACTTTCAGCAGTCAGCACAGATCTCCAAAGCCCTGGTGGATGCTGGAGTGGATTTCCAGGCAATGGTATAATGGAGCTGCGTCCAGGGGGAGGGAAGTGTCTTGGTGGGCTCTCGTTTCCTCTTTGAGGGCCTTTTCTCATACGAGTCCAGGAGGACAGGGACAGAAAGCAGTTTTTATTTCTTCTTCCAGCATTAAGTTGGTGAACTGATGTCCTTGAGTCATACACACAATAATACTAGAGACCTTGAGGTTGAGAAGCACAATATTGCATTTTCTGGAAGTATCAAAACACTGCTCTCCTGTTCCTATGATTGTTTGTTCTCTCCTGATTTTGATACAGAAGTAATCACTTATTCAGTAAATGTGTGGCAAAATCATTCTAAAGTGTAACTATCATAATAATGGCTCAGCTCAATATGAAAATCCATTTCTGGCTTATGTGTATTACTAGCCATTTCTAACACCAGTAGGACATCAGCATGCTTCTGTTTCCACAATTGCCCTGTTATCTTTTGTTGAGCAACCACAAGCAATAAGCCATTAAGCTTTTTTTTTTCTTTTAATAGTCCTAAGTGGCTAGAACTCTACAGAAGATATTTCTATGTCTTTAGAGAAATTCCCTTTCTATACTAGAGATTGCCATATTCAAAAGAAAACTTGCATACATGTATGTATGCTTGTATGTGTGTTGCACCACATTTTTGTGTAAAATGCAATGTTTTTGCCTGATTTATCTAGAAGACCAGCTCCCCTGCCCCCACTCTTCTATTTTCTCTGTGCTCAGTTTCAATGGTGCCCTATATAGGAATAGGAACACCATTTGACCCAGAAAAACTGGTGAATTTTCTGGGCCAGATTCTCATAAGAGGTTGATACTTTAAGCAGTGTGTGTGTGTGTGTGTGTGTGTGTGTGTGTGTGTGTGTGTTCATGTGCTAGTGCTGAGGTTTGAACTCAAGGCCTGTGCACTGTCCCATAGCTTCTTTTGCTCAAGTCTAGCACTCTACCATTTGAGCCACAGATGCACTTTCCACTTTTTTTAACCAAAGGCAAGAGTATCACAGACTTTCTTGCATGGGCTGGCTTTGAATCACAATCTTCAGGTCCCAGCCTGCTGAGTAGCTAGGACTCTAGCTGTTAGCCATAAACACTGGCTCGGGACCCTGATTTAAAGGCTTAATTATGTATCCACAATGCTTGTTTGCTTAGCAAGTAGTCCTCAATTAAGTAAGAAGGCACAAGTTGTTAAGTTTTTGCTTAAGATCATAGTCTCCTACATAAATGTCAGACATGTAGATTTTTTTAAGTATTAGTATAAGCTCGTGTTAGTAAACTTTTGATTTCAAGTTATATCAAAATATAGCAATACCATCAAACTATAGTTTTCTAGGTCACTAGTCCTTAGGAAAACTTTTCGAAAGTTCATTTATTTCAATGTAATTTATTAGAATGTAGACATATTTGATACTTGAGAGGACTTAATTAAAGCAGTGTGCTTCATTGCATACAATGCATGGTGTGGTTCAAAGTGTCCTTTGAGTCAATTCTGAAAGTTGATTTGAGTGTTTTAATTAGCCCTATCCCATAAAGTCCAATGCACAGGAGATTTTCTCTGCACCTGCAAAAGAGAACAAGAGACTTCGGCGGGGTAGAACAATCTGGATTGAGAAAGCTCTGGGGGGGAAATTAGATATCCTCTACGGTCACATTTCAGTTCATGAACTATTTCAGGAATGAAAACACTCTGTCTTCTATAACATATGCTGGCAAGGACTCATTTGAGTCTTTCCTCTTCAAAGCAGCTCACTTCCTAATTGTCACCTTTTTCTTTCTCTCTCCAGTGGTACACAGATGAAGACCATAGCATTGGCAGCAGCACAGCACACCAGCACATCTATACCCATATGAGCCACTTTATAAAACAATGTTTCTCTCTACCTTAGCACCCCTCACCAAATGCTATTACAGCTTATTAAAAACCATGTTTTATGCTCATTAGTTCCAAACTGCACTGCTAAGTGATGATCTTTTAAAAAATAATTTTCAAATTAAGAAATGCAAGGTTACCTTTGTTCTCAAATTGCATTAACTATAATCATAGCTAAGAAATTTCTGCCTCGCAACAGATTATTACCTTCCAGCAATTTGGATTGTTCAGTCTGATTTTGTTTATCATTTAAAATCATTTCTATATCAGCTGCTGAAACAACAAATATAAATTATTTTTATGAAAGCTTGGTATAGAATAGTGTTTCAATTTTTTTCTAACTAGACTAGTCCAAATCTTGTCCTCTTCTTTAAAAGGATGGCAAGATATGGGCAATGATGTCAGTATGTAAGGATTAGAGGAACGGAGTGGGGAGAGATGGCAGGACATGGCTAGAAACCCAAGTCCAAGTCCCAGCACACATACCCGACCAGGCTACTGTCAGCTCCCCTCAGAGAAGAGCTGTTCACAGCCAGACTGGCACAGTTTTCTGAGAAAGACTATTCAAACCGTCTCAGGAAATCACATATGCAAAGCACTGACTTCTAAGTAAAACCACAGCAGTTGAATCGACTCCAGAGAAATGCAAGAGAAACTGCCAGCAATGTAAGGCCCCCAGGTGCCAGTTATGGCTATAGGTGCTACAGAAACACAGCAAGGGTGATGGGAAAGCATTGTAAATGTGCTTTAAAAAATAATTATGCTTTCTAGTGAAATGAGTAGCTTGGAACTGAGATGTGAACACATCAGCTTGCCCTGCTAAAAGTCTAAACTGTTCATATCACCAATTCTAATTTGAAGCCTTGCTTTAATTTTCCTTTTTCATTTCGTTTAGCATCTTAATTAAAATATTTTAACTTCCTTGAATTGTGTTTTTTACAAAATATAAAATAAACTATAATGCTGTATATTGGTAGTTCCATTTTACATGCTGTGGAATTTCTCCTGGTCATTTAATAAATATGTCTTCATTTTTCAGAGGTAATGAGTTGTGTCTTGAGTCAGACCTACACCATACTGGCATATGAACACATTTGTCAGAAAATAAATAAATAAATCTCTTGTTTATTTTGTTAGTAATCCCAGATTATCTGGTAAATATGGAAAGAGTTCAGCTTTTGTTTTAAAAGAAGAAAGAAAAATGATCATGATTAGGTACAAAAAAATGTGTTAAGCAGGTCATAAGATTTTTACCTAATATATATAAATCTTTTGTTATATATAAACTTATATTAGGAAATTGAGTTAGATACAATACACTTTACATACAATACAGTATGATGTAAGAGGTAGCATTTCATTCTAGGGAATGATGGTGAGGTCTGTATTATAAAAATGAATAATATCATAATGGTAGTTCTTTGATCTCAATGGACATAAAAAGTACAAAAGAGAAAGGCAATCTCTTAAGTATCTGATGAATTATTTGTGGTTGTCAAAATTAAAGTAATAAAAGCAGATTCCCGATGCTGAATTTGAGCTCAAAATGTTTAACTAAGAAACATAATTTTGTTTCAATTATTTTCAAAACAGTCCCATTTTTAGGAACTTAACTTCATGAATTTAAACTCAGTTTCTGATTATTTGCTAGGGGAACTTATCCCAAATGGGGGTGAGTTATAGCATAAACATCTGAAGCTGGAAGATATGGGAAGAGGCTACTGCGTCCTGTGCACAGGTATGGACAGAGGTTCTACAGTCCAGCCTTAGCTATATTTTTAGAACATGCCATTGAATCATTGCCCCTTAATTATCTCTCAGTCCCCACTCATCCATTGGAACCATCTACCAACATCTAAGTTTGAGAGTCTCTTGTCATAATCTTGTTTCTGAACATAGTCGATCATTATGACTAGCTATACCAATCTTTGAAAATTCTACGTCAAGGAACAACATTAATAAATGTTTATATTCTGGACCACATTAAAGGTCTTAGAAGTAAATTAAATAGAAATTTCTTTTTATCTTACTGAAACCACATTTTATACAATGTGAGAGAAAAATATGTCAAATATTGTGCAATATTTATACAGTAAGTACCAAAATTACATCAATTTATTTTTCTATTCATTTCTAAACATGCTAATATTATTTCTAAGGTCCAGAACAATAAAAGAATTACAACATACACTTTTTTATGTAGCAGAGGTTAGAAATACTGATGATATGAATAAGTTTAAAGTTTTTTTTAATCTGTCCCTCAAAACACACGTTCTCCTCTCCATGAAAGAGGTTTAAATTAGCTCACTGGAAAAGGAAAATAAAGAAATTGATAGGTAAATTAGAGATAACCTTAATCTGAGGGTAAGTTTGAGACTTAAGGGAATTAGTCACAGCACTAAGAATAGTGAACACTAAGAATGAGAGCACTGACATTTGCAGCCTCCATAGGCATGCAGAGGGTTGAGTCTTTTCATATCCTGTTAAAGTACACCAGAGCCCAGGGGTGCATGTGAAAAAAAAAAGAGCATTCATCTCATCTATTGATGTAAAAATTATTTCTGAACATTTATTCTGAAAACTGTGCTAAAAATAATTGCATGTCTTCATGCTTTCTTAAATAGGCACAGAGCATAATTCAGCATCTTCCTGATGACTCAGAACTACCATCATAAAGATCAATTACCACATCAGGTTGTATGACATTCTGGATATTTTGTTTCTTTTCTTACTCACAGACTATCAATTCCACCTCTTGGTATTTGCTGCTTGTTCTCTAAGTCGATGTGAGAATATTGATTTATAAGACTACTAGATTTGTACAATATTTAAGATTCAATAAATTTTAAGGGGAAAAAAATCATAGCAACACATAAGCATGAGTTTTTTCTTCTCAAAGTAAGAGAGTTCTGTTGTGCCAACTTTATCACATTTCTTTTATAGTATACATATATACTCTTGTATACATCTTGAGTGACATGAAGCATGTGAGCATGTCTCCAGGATATAGATGCTCAGAATGGAGGTTATAGCCTATCATCACTCAACATGCAGGAAGGGAGGAACAGAGCATGGTATTATGCTCAGTAGGAATATATCATCTTTTGGTGATGAGACCAACATTTAATCCCCAAAATTTGAATTAATAAAAAGATAAGTTCTTTTATTACTTATAGGGGTTAAATCTCAAAAATTTATACCTTTCAGAACCAATTCACCATTTTTTCCCAATTATTTAAAGTCATGTTTACTTTGGTGAGATGTCAATCATTTAACAACCAAAATCCTTCAGCATGGCACTAAAACCTGAGGATATGCAAATATCTCATATGAAATGGCATAGCAATTACATATAACCTAGGTATATCATCCTATATACTTCAAATCATCTCTACATAAAAATCTCACATAAAAATCTAAAGTAGAGCCGGGCACTGGTGGCTCACACCTGTAATCCTAGCTACTCAGGAGGCTGAGATCTGAGGATCGCGGTTCAAAGCCAGCCCGGGCAGGAGAGACCGTGAGACTCCTATCTCCAATAAACCACCAGAAAACCGCAAGTGGTGCTATAGCTCAAGTGGTTGAGTGCTCGCCTTGAGCTGAAGAGCTGAGGGTCAGCACCCAGGGCCAGAGTTCAAGCCCTGCGACCGACCAAAAAAAAAAATCTAAAGTAGATTTTATAGTAGATGCTGTGTAAATCAAAGTCAAATAAGCTCAAACATACTTAAGAATACTTAAGAAGTCCAAACACAAGTGCTTTTTAAAAAATAATTTCTATGTGTATATATATAAAACTATGCTATGTATATCATAGTTATAAGAGAATAATTACAATAATTCAATGTATGTTGAACGAAGATGAATTTTCCCCCAAATATTTGTGATCTGAGCTTAGTTAAATCCATGGATCCAACAGCATTTCTCAATATCATGATTTTGTGACTTGAGAATGTTCATCACAAAGGAATGAGCGATGAAGGAAATGCAACATTCTGAGAAGGAGTATCACCGGGCTTGATTGTGGTTCCATGATACAGAAATGAATCCCTTGTTAGGAAGGCAGTCAGTCCTGTCTCTATGGTACCTCTTGCTGAAGACACAGTGCCCTGAACCTGTCCATCAGCACCCCTACTCCTCAACACCGGAACATCTTACCCTATTAGAGCTCTGATGCCTTAACTTGAAAATTGGTACAAACATCTTTATTTCAAATCTTTAAGTCTCTTGGAATTTTTACATGAATACAAGGTTTGATATTTCCCTTCACCTTTCCCTTCCTCCTTGTCATGATACTTGGCTGCTGCTCCTACCTCAGGGCCCCACAGATTGCATAGTCTTGACTTAGTATTGCTTCTGCTCAGATGCTAGACACATAGATGCCAGTAAACATTGCTTCTTAGTTTAGATAACTATCATCTCGGTAAGACTCATTCTTAAGGAACTGACGGGCAGCACCCTCTGATATATTTTACTTATGAATCTTAATCTCAAAGCACAGAACTGGAGAGTTTAAAGAAAGGGACAAGACACTTTTGCTTTCCAGAGTCTTCCAAACTAATGGAGGAAATAAGTCACATGGCAGAAGCCTATGACTCTGCATGCACCCAAGAAGAAGAGGACATCGATACAAAGTTAAGCCCAATGGATGATGACAGGGCCAGACACAAGATGAGCAGGGGAAGGGGTTTTCTGGCTTCTCATGAGGCAGCTATTGGCTGAGTTATATGCTTAGATTTCTTTAACATTCTCAGGTTTGTTGTGTTTTCCAGAACCTTTCATCAAACATAGCTGTGTGCATATTAGATATATGTACTCTTTATATTATCACCATATGCCAACAAATACTCTACATAATAGGAATTATTTTTTAAGTACTTGTGTGCTGAAGTATGTTTGAGCTTATTTGACTTTGATACTAACAGCTATCTAGAGAATTTCAACTTCTGTTTGATCATCTGAGAATCATTGTAGAAGTGGCATCCCTAAGGAAATAACTTTTCCCACTATAATCTCTACTGTACTACTAGACTAATTTTTTTCTTTTAACAATTCATGCTTCTTCTTTAAGTTCTTAATGTATAAATTTCAAATGTCCTGGTATAGAATTTGATGTCATTTACAATGTCTTCAATGTGTGTTTCTACCTTTTCTTATTAGTCTTTCCCCTAACAGTCTTTTCCTGACACTTCACCATACTTAGCCATTTTCTAGTTTCTAAATATGCCATCTATCTTTTATGTCAAGTTGTACCACATAGCTTTACTTTGATTCTAATCTTTATCATAGTGACATTATCTGAAAACCTCCCAGAGTCATCTCCTTCCCCATTTCTCTCTTAATCCATATGCCATTTCTCCTATAACATCTCTTTAAATGTTGACTTACTAAAGTTCTATTTTTCACTCTCTCAGATATCAATCCCACCAATGCAATACAAACCACATAAATATTTACAGCTACACGTTCAGTTTGCCCTTAGAAGCAAAGCTCTTAATTCTGAGTTCAGAATTCTAATACAAAACAATAGCCTTCAATACACAGAAAATGTAGCAGAGGGACAGTGTGATCTAAACCTTTCTATGAATACCTAAATATGATTGTTAAAATAAACTATTATCATCAATCAACCTTGTAAGCTTCTGATTACAGCTGCCCTCTCAAAGTAGATATGTAGACTCATTGTATTACCCAAATTATTTTCTTTTTTGGGGGAGGGGGTCCGGTCGTGGGGCCTGAACTCTGAGCCTGGGCGCTGTCCCTCAGCTCTTCGGCTCAAGGCTAGCACTCTACTACTTGAGCCATAGCACCACTTCCAGCTTTTTTCTTTTTGCTTATGTGGGGCTGAGGAATTGAACCCAGGGCCTCATGCATGCAAGGCAAGCGCTCTACCACTGAGCCACCTTCCCAGCCACTCCAAATTATTTTCATAATGCTTTCAGTGGTTGTCATCTCACTTCACTGCATAAATATACAATATGGACCTATTGAAAAATTGGAAAACAATCTTGCAATAATAGTCAAATAGTCCTTTGCTCAAAAGTAAACAGACTAAAGTTAAACAGAAATAGAGATATCCCTGTATATAAGAAACAGAATCAGTAATGCTTATAAGGGCCAAGAAAAATCCTAAAAGATCTAGTAGTCATCACTGGGGTGTCTCTATCAGCTTAGACTTAGGAAAAACTTCTCTATATGGCATGCTGTTAAGCAGCAGCAATTACAAAGTAAACTCACTACTCAACGGAGAAGTACTAAGCAGGTTACAATTTTGAATGCAATTATCTCCATCATATACTGACAGATGCTACAAAGTAAAAATGGGCCCATTTGACCTTTATAACAAATTGGAACAGGAAAATTTTAGGAAATGTTTTCTTCTTGGGAGAAAAAACAGGAATTAAGGAATTATCATAATCAGAGTCTTGCTAATAAGCTTTCTGACAGTAATCTGAGAAATATCATTTCTATCGAAAAGACCTGGACTGTTCCCTGGGAAAAAGAGGCCATATATCTTTATATACTTCCTGAAGTTCAGACTATTTGAATCTCCTAGTAGTATAACATCAATGTTTCTTACCTGTTAGGATGCCTTAATTTAAATATTATATTTGAACAATCAAATGTTCTAAACAGATATAGTGGTTAACATGAAAAAACTCACACAAGACACATTGTACCACAATTTAAAATGGGCAAGGAAATTAGTTAGGATAAATATTTATTTCCACATAACATTTTTCAGTTGTGAAAAGCACAATATCCTAGTCACATTTACACTTTACTTAAACTTTGCAATAAATTACATTCAAGATATGCAGTAATTTTGACCAGGAATCTGAAATTAGGGATAAATATATAATACTACATTTTATCTTATATTTTATATGATTTCAAAATATTAGGATAAACATGGGAATACTATTAAAATTCACACAAGAACAAAATTACTATAAAAATACTCATAAATACAGAATTTCATTGGATAATTGCTTATTCAAATTAGTGATCATGTGAATAATTTCTAACAGAACAGTTATTAATATGTTAAAATATTAGGTGAATGCTTTGGAGACTGACTGGCTAAATAATAGAACAATGAGAATGTTTACAGTGGAGTATCAGTATTACAAAACATATAAAGGTAACACATTTGGAACAGAAAGTTTCTGTATATTTCATCTGCATTTATATTTATACTTCTTCTGTATTTATAAATACAAACTCTATTAACTATGAATTCTTCTTCCCATGATTTTTTGCTCATATTCCATTAAAAAATGACTTCTGAAAGGATCATGAGGAATTTTTTTCAGAAGATATCAAAATGTTGAATTACTGCTTTATTGTTTTGTTCCCTCCTTATTAGCTTAATTCCAAAGAGGTTTTTTCATGTGTATTTGTACACAATACATAATTCAGAGTTTATAAAAGCCACAGAGCTCTGAATCATTGTAAAATTGAACAGTGAAAGACTATGAGGTTGTCAATCACTGATTATCCTTAGGACCTAAGAGCATTATGAAATTTATTTTTTTAACTTAATGTTCATCTAAAATGAAATGAAATACTATATTTTTAGTAGTGCTCAAAATCTTATCTTTCCTTCCTTTTGTATAAGCTTTGTGAAGATGGATTATTTTAACATGAATTGAAATATCTATATAACCTTCTCAAACAGAATCTGAAATTTTCATTTAAGAGTTTTTTTTCACAACATGCATTTAATGAAAAACTGGAAAATTCCTTTGTAGAGAAAAAGTACAATGGGAGACTTGTTGATGTGACATTAGAACATAATTCAGGACTAGCACTAAGCAGCACATGACCATCAGCATCAGAACAACTGTACAGGTGTGGAATCTCATGTACTATTTCCTATGTGCTATTCCACAAGTATATATAGAATACATTTACCTGGAAAACAGTCTCATCAATAGGGGAGAAATTGAACAGCACACTTCTGATAAAGATTAAAATTGAAAATTCAATAAAACTGTTAAAGTTTTCCTAAAGAATTTAATACAAGCCTACTACTGTATCATGTAGTCACAACTTCAATTTTAAGAAAATACTACTTGACTCTTTGCATTATTGTCTGATTTTTTTAGTAAGTTGTGATATATGCTTTCCAAATGACTTTAAGTTTCAGTCAGATATAAATTCTTGAGTATTAAATATATCATATTAAATCAAGGAAATACATAAATACAATCATTAAAAATGCTTTTAAACTAACTTTTTGATTTGAGTCTTTTGAAATAAGTCACTAATGCTAAGCTATAAAAAATTAAAAGTATGACTACCTTTCAAAATTCTTCTGAACAAAATTATCAGTTATCATCAGAACACTAAAGTAAGAAAATACAAGCTAGGTAAATATGACTTGTCTCTTTAAGAATACTATTGCTGTCATAAAGCTAGCAAGAAGAATCCAGTGTTTACAAATGTCTACTAAACAGCAAGAACATACAGATTCTTGCAATAGCTATTGTGTCTGATCACAGGGGTGTCTCACTGTTCCAAAAGCTAAACAGAGAATGAAAGAGCATTGCACTACTTACAGTATGAAGGTGGATTTGGGATGAGAAACAGAATTTACAATACATGATCAAAGTAGTTTCATTAATAATTGTGACACTCTTCTCATATATAAGTAAAAAATAAACTGAAGATCAAGTCATAGACAAGTCTCCCTGTCAACACCTTTCCCTGAGTCAGCTTTCTTCTCTTTTCGGCTTTCAGTGCTACAAGGGGGAAAAAGGAAAAATTTATTACTGCAATACAGCATGACTACTATAAAATTTGCTATCTCAGTCACAAAACCCATCAACCCCAAAGCAACACAAGAGCCCATAAGCATTGCTCTCTCATGCTTCAAAGCATAGATCGACAGCAACACTTAAAATCTTTTACATTCAGTGAGATAGAAGCCAAGAACTGCAGAGAGGGGGAAATTCAAAAACAGACACTAAAAAATAAAACCAGACATTAAAAAAAAATTCTAAAAGCATGCAAGATCAATACCATGGTCCTCGTTGGGCAAATGAATCATTGATGATTGTTGAAATGGCCAGTCATGTCCACCTTAAGACAATACTGACACTAGAAAATGACACAAACAAGTTGCCGAAGCGGTGTGTCTGAGCTTTGCTGCAAATGGCTCATCCTTCATGGCTAGACTGAATCTTGATGTTTGTTGAAGACAATGTCTTGGTTAGGTGAAGCAAGCATCTCTCCTGGTCAAGCTACTGATCACCCTGAATGAATTCTCTCCAGGTACCTGTCCCTCCACCTGTACATCAGAGGAATGATCCTTCACCTCCTTAGAGAGCAAACTCTCACTCCAGTAAAACTTCTTTCATTTCACCTTCTAGTTTTAATGGTACCATTTAATTAAGCTGAAAGTGAGACTCTGTCATTTTTGTCTTCTTTTTCTCAATAATTTTCTACTGTACACTTTTCTTCCTCTCACATCGAGTTTCTCAAGGAAAGTTCTAATAGTATGGTCATGTGTAAGGAACCTACACCTACAACATATGTTTCCTTAGGGGCAAATTCCCCCAATACTTTTTGCACATGACAAAGCCTGCTGTATCAGAGGCCTCTCTGCTCCCCTCGCCACAGGACAACTCACAACCAGCCTTGGAGGCACTAACCTGAAAGAGTCCACACATTTTACTGTTAACTTCAGCCCTTAATATAAAATCGTTAATGGTGGGGACTACCTTTGTTTTATGACTCTTCTCCAAGTAATAAAGTACTCTAACTCTGTATTTCAATGTGGCCTCCTGTGCAGCTTTCTTAGTGGTCAATAACTTAGACACATTCTAAGAGTGTGTTTTTAAAATTGTTTTTCCTCCAATTCATGCTAGAAACAGCCCTTCTCAGTTGTCACCACCACCCGGCACCATCAGGTAAGAAGTGCCGGAGCTTCTGCCATCTGTGGCACGCTGCCAGCGCTGAGAGCTGGTGTGAGCGAGTGTCTATGGCACCCGGGTTTATGCCTGCCACACTTCTCAGCACATACTCCTTACAGGTCAGAGCAAAGCAACTTTTTCCCCCTTTTCTTTTCTCTCTCCATGAGAAGAGTTGACAGTGTGCACATGATGTGTTGAGAGTCTTAACTCTGTATTTTTAACTCCTTTATCTGTATGACTCACTTTCTTCTACTTTCAGTTCCTATAACATGACAAGTGTCTGCTCTCTTGCTTTCCAAATTAACTTTTCCTTGGGCTTTACCTGGCTCTCAGTCTCTCTCAGACAAAACCAAGGCAACAAGCAGAATGTGGAAGTGCAGTGAGCCCTGTGCATAAAATTATGAGACCTGGGTTCAGTTCACAAAAGCTAAGAATGAAATATATGACCTAGGACTAATGATTTAATCTCTCTGAGACTTGGTATCTTTATCCACAAATTGAGTTTGACACCAGATGGCTTCTAAGTACTCTTACAGCTCAATTCCAGAATACTGATGCTGGTATTCCAATGGCCATTGACTCTGTCTTTTGGAAGGTATGATAGCAAATCTAATCTATAGGAAACTGTGAGGAAGAAACATATTGGCCTCTGTACATACACAATATTTGTGATATTGATGTTTCCTAACCTTTCGATAAATAAATGAATTTCCAATGGCATTATAAGTCACCTCAAAGTGCTAAGGGAAATGAAAGGAAGAAAGGAAAGAAAGGAAGGAAGGAAGAAAGAAAAAAAGAAAGAGAAAGAGAGGGAGAAAGAGAGAGAGAAAGAAAGATAAAAAGGAAAGAAAGAGAGAAAGGAAAGAAAGAAAAGAAAGAAAGAAAAAGAGAGAGCGAGAGAAAGGAAAGATAAGAGAGATAGGAAGGAAGGAAGGAAGGAAGGAAGGAAGGAAGGAAGGAAGGAAGGAAGGAAGGAAGGAAGGAAGGGAGGAAGGGAGGTAGGGAGGGAGGAGACAAGAAAGAAGTGAAAGAAAGAAAGGAAAAGTAAGAAAGAAAGAAGAAAGACACAGACAGATGCGGGGGCGGGGGGAGATATCAAATTTCCCTTGGCCTGCTCTGGTTATATTGGAGCTTTTGGGGTTGGGAAACATATAAAATAACAAATGGTTACATGACTGTCTCCTATTGAAACTCTTGGTTTGATTTCATACTAGATTTCAGCAAAGTATGGAACAGAAGTTTTATAGACTTCTGTGAAAAATATTCTATGTGAATCTTTTTATTGTCTGTCCCTTTCTTTCCTTTCTTTCTTTTTCTCTTTCTTTTCTTTCTTTCTTCTTTCCTTTCTTTCTTTCTTGTTACATTCATGTTTTCATGTTTCTAGATGCCAATTGGTTTTAAGCTTTTATTGTAGCAACTATGTACTATACATCTGTTATTGGTTTTGTAATATATATGTACATATATACATATATATATTTCTAGGCACTTTATAAAGACCTAGGAATAAAAGATAGAAGAAACTATCCTTGCCCTTGAGGAATTACAGCCTCAAGTATAAAAGTAATATTTCAAAAGAGAGAGAGGGGAAAATGACCTATCTACTCCTGGCTTGCTGCTAAGAAATCTGTGATGCTGTTACATTTCAATGGCACTAAAATGGTTGCTATGAACAGTATTTATTGAGCTGTCATGAGAGGGCCCAGGCCTAGAAAAACAGAGCAAAAGAGAATTCAGGTTAGAAGGATGTGTGCAAGGCAAAACTAAGTGTGACCTTTTCTAGCATTGATAAATACTTTCCCAAGAAAAGCTGGTCTTGGGTGTTGGTTTTATAAAACACATCAGTGGCTCACCTATTCTGATACAATGTGGTTTTTCATGAAACCTGTTTCTACCAATCCATCCAATAAGCAGCAGTGGGATTTGTCTCCTGTATGTATAGCAATGTTAAAGTGGTATCAAAGTAGAACTTCTATAGATGAAGTAAAATTTGAGATCAGTTCTTGGATTCTACTTCCAATTAAACTAGATAAAATATTTTCCAAGCCTGAAATGTTTATTAAATAATTGAAAAAAATATACTACTATGCTAAAATCCATTTAAGAATTTATCCAAACTTCTTAGAGACATCTTAGAGCAAAGGATAGAATGGAAAATAGCTGAAGGGGATTGATCAAAGGCTGCATGGAACCAGCCTAAGTCTCAAGAGAGACAGATCCTGGGAAGCTGTTCTTCAGGCATTTTTGGGTTTTAGCCATTGGGTACTCTAACAAATCAAATTTTAATAGTTCTTAGTTGTCATACTTCAATGTCTTCAACAGAGTCCAAGAAAGCAGTATCCTTCAGAGAGTATTAAAATTCTGGAAACTACGCTCTTTCTGTAAGTGTTCACATTTATTAAAATGAGTGAAGAGTATCACTAACAGATAGTTTTATGTGGGAAGCTACAAAATTTACCATATTAAAAAGTAAGGAAAGTACTAGGCATGGTGTCTCCTGCCTGTAATCCCAGCACTCGGCAATCTGAGGAAGTAGGATTCAAGAAGACTAGTCTGGAGTCAGAAGACTGGCTCTGTCTCAAAAAGACACAAACAAATGCAAACTGTGCGAACTTTCATTCGACAATAGTTTCAATATCAGTTCAGTGGGAATAGCTACTTTTAAGACCAAGAAACAAATGGCTTTATCAAATTACAAAGGTGGATGGACTTAAAACATACTACTTCTGTTGTATTCTACACACATATTACTTTAGATTTTTCTGATAAAGAGTATCATTTGAGCCAGGCACAGCTGCAATCCTAGCTGCTCAGGATGAGATCTGAGGATTGTGGTTCAAAGCCAGCCCTAAGAAGAAAGTCCATGAGATCCGTATTTCTTATCTCCAATAATCACCAAAAAAAGCCGGAGTGGAGTTGTGGCTCAAGTAGTAGAGTACTAGTCTTGAGCAAAAACAAACAAACAAAAAACTCAAACTCTTAGGAATAGTGCCCAGACACTAAGTTCAAGCCACAGGCTGGCACACACACACACAAAAAATGGAGTACCACTTGACTTTACAATTTACTGTAAAGAATACCTAAAATGCCTTATGGCATAAAATATGTTGCTTGAAACAAAGGAACACTGAGGAAGAATTTGGACTATGGATCCACATAATTGAGGAAGAAATATAATCTACAAATTTGGCGGTCTCAAATTCTCTCCTATTTCTCATAGCATTTTGCTTTAAGCCCATCACTTTGGATTCCATATTTTAAAAGAAATTAGAGAAACATCATATTTTTTAATGCAAAAGGATCCACAAACACATATGTTAGTGGGCTTGAAAAATTACCTTTCGCATAACTCCGATGTTCTTTCAAGAGTTCTAGAAAAGTAGGGAAATAGCAGGGACAATAGCAACATGATAGCAGGTATTTGGAGGAGGGAAAGAAAAGCAAGTTTTGAAATAAAATATTACAGCTGCTTGGCTTAAGCAAACAAATACATGGTATTTTGAAGCTCTGTTCAAAAAATGGTCAAAGTTTTTAAGAAGGCCTATTGATTAATTCATAACAATTTCTGTTGGAGTAAGTTTTGGAGGGGTGGAGGGAGGGAGAGTGTGGAAGAGAAAGAGAGAGAGACAGACAGAGAAAGAGAAAAAAGAAAGTAAAAAATAATCCCGAGCTTCTGGTGGAAAGACTCTGAACACCAACTCTTTGTCTTGTTTCTTTTGTTGGGCATAGGAATGACACTGAAGCAGCATGCCATTTTGGGGTGACAAAAACTAGCAGCAAGAGACATACTATACTCTCCAGTCTAATGTAGCCTCTTTCTTTATCCCATGTTTCCAGTTATGTCTCATGAAGCTAGATAAAGCTTGCAGGTATAAATGCATCATGGTAACATAAATGGAATCTTCCAGCTTTGCAATTTTCTTAATTAGAGGAACAATTTTTTTTTTCTTCCAATCTAGAAATTTGACAACATCACTAAGTACAGTTGTGTACAATTGGTTGTTTTATTTATGATCTATTTGTATAAGTTAAGGAGGGAAAAAGCTTAGCCCAGTTTCAGGCCAATATCAAATTCCATTTGATATTAGATCTGAGCCCAAGACTCACCAAGCTTTTTGCCTCCCCAAAACTCACACAGAGGACATAGGCTGACCAGAATTCCAGAAGACACCATTTAACATAAAGAAATGCAACCACAGAATAGGTTTGAGGGAGAGGGTCTTACCTTTGGGGAATCAGCTTCTAGAGTGATTAGGAAGGGGAGCTTATGGCAAAAATGTAATATAAAAATTAAGTAGAAAATGTTAATTTAAGGTTATGAAAATAAACTTAATAGTTACAACACCATCCCAAATGCCTCAACCATTCCGTAACAAGAAGAGAGACTAGCATAATAGAGGAATTCCCTTTTTTTTAAAGATCAGTGTTAAAAGTCTGGAGGGTATGGTTTGATCTCTTGTCAATTTTGGAAAATTCAATTGAAATCCCATGAGGACTCTTGATACTTAGTACAGAGTCTTGTCTCAGCATGCATTTAAGATCACCATCCACAACTACAGGAGTTGTTTGCATGTTTACATATTGAAAAGTAAGAATGGACAGAACTTTCAAGAGCTGAAAGCTTTGGGGTAAAGAAATTAGGGGAGATTTTCAGAGACTTGGAATAGGGTACTAGAAATAAACTAAATATAAAATAACCATGTGCCATAACGCTTAAAAAAATAAGGAAATAGTGGGAAATGTCAGACATCTGAACAGGTTCTGGAAAGTGGGTAATGAAGAAATACAATAAAATCATAGAAAAGAGTAGGCCAAAATGAATGTCCAGAAATGTCATGCACGGGACTCATTTATAGCTCCATTTCCCCCCCACTGTGATAGTTTTGGAGTGAGTTTTTAATTTGAAAGGGAAACATTGAAAAATATTCATTCAGAAAAATTACAATCTCCACCCCCTTTCAAAATGAATTTTCTGAAACGTTTTAGACATTAATTTGTTGGAAACCAATATCATTCCTTTGTTAGTGGATTTATGCCATGAAAATCATTGGAATTAGTACAACCTCATTACGTTAAAATTCAAACCTTTTAGAAGGAAAGCTGGACTCCTTATCTTTTGAGCTATCAGTCGTAATTAGAAGGTTCTTCCACAAGGCAGTCTTTGACATTTCATCAGAAATATTGATCACAGATGGATCATCTCTAGATAGGAGTTCACCCAAAATGAAACCATAAACATTAAATAAGTAACTACCTACTCAATGACCGGTACTAAATATAGTCATTGTGTGTGTGAAATATTTGTTCTTGATTTTTTACTATAGTAGAACACTTATATTATTAGTCATTTCTAAATGTACATTGATATGTTATTAAAGATATCCATAATGTACAACCGTCACCACCATCCATCTCCAGAACCTTTTTCTTCTTATAAAACTTAAATTCAACATCCATTAAACCTTAACTCCTGTTTTCTCATCTCCTCAGTGCCTGGCAACCACCACTATACTTTCTGTCTTTATGATTTTGTCTATTTTAAGTGCCTCGTATAAGTTGGATCCTATAGTGTTTGTCTTTTTGTGACTAGCTTATTTTATTTAGCATAATGTCCTCAATGTTCAGATGTGTTTTAGCATATGTCAGAGTTTCTTTACTTGGAAGGATGAATAATATTTAATTGTTTGTATATTTTTGTTAATTTCAGCATATTTTGATTAAAAACCATTGACAAGTACTGAATAGTTCTCAATTATTAAAACATATCTGGGAAAAGTTGAAAGAAAAGATGTCAGTTGAATAAAGATTTGGGTTGCAAATTTCTTAATTCATTTCAAGAAACAGATTAGCTACTGTGTTGACTTGCTCAGGTTCTTGTGAACCTTCTCAGGACTGCAGGTCTGTCATTGTCTTTGCTCCTTTGCAGTAGCTCCCACTTATCCACTATAAAATCAGTGCTTACTAGCCTGTAAGGTCTGTAACCCCCTTGTTCTCTGACTGACTAGAAGTATCAGCTCTGCTCACACTCTGTAGCCACAGTTAGTTGGCCTATTGACTGTTGCAGAGCATTCTTGTTACTCCAGGACTTTGGCACAGGTCTCCCCCTGCTTATAATGTTCCTCCACATGATATAGCCTTCTCTTTCCTTTATTCAGATGACATTTTCTCAGGCAAGCCCATGCTGACTACTCTCGGTAAAACTGTTAGTTCCACCCTCTCATATCACTCCAATATCTCATTTACTTTTTTTTTATTGCACATTTGATCTAGGCTACATTACTTGTTCTGTTGTTTATCCTCTGTCTCCTATCTCTATTCTACTTTCAGGTAAATTTCACGAGGACAAGGATTAATTTGTTTCTTGTTGTTCTCCCCAAAAACAGGCAGGACATTTGGTATTTGATCATTATTTGCTGAACAAGCAACTGCAGTCTGTTTGACCAAGTTCTTTCTATGTAGCTGGTGGAACCTGTAATATCAGGAATTGAACTATGCCTGGCTGTGTTTACATTTTGCAATGGCATCAATTGTTTGTAACACTCAAAACGTTTCAAAACCTCCTCAGGGCTAAAAATATAAACTAAATGGCAGAAATAAGACAAGTAGCTCAAAAAAATAGCCTTTCTTTTACTACGTAAGATATTGCATTGTAGAAAAAAATAAACTCTCATGTTCTACAGCAATCCTAAACTAGCATCCTATGAACCACATTGGTAAGTGTTCACAAGAGGGCAACGAATTCAACATTTCAGATGAGCAAGACCTTGGATTGCTCTACCTTGCCCAATCTGGAGATGTATTCTTCCATTTTAACCTGTGTAGATAGTTTCCTAGAAACTCAACAGATGAGATCAACAATTTCCAAAAATGTATCATATGGAGTAAAATTATCTCATGGTATGTGACAAGGTATCTTGGTGAGCAAAAAGGTTTAGAAAATGCTTTGTTACGTGTGTGCCAGCCAAACAAGCAAGCAAGCTGTGTAAGTGTGAGGTCCTGAGTTTAGACCTCAGTAAAACACACACACACACACACACACACACACACAAATTCCTAAAGACAAAAAAGGCAGTATTACTTAGACTATTTCATATGCCAAGGTTCATTGTGAATTTCCAAATTATAAGTCAGTATAGAACATCTTACAAATCTATTTGACAACAAAGCCCTTTTGAAAGTGGTATGACATGAAACTGGTTTCCACAGAATACACATGAGAGCTTACTACATCAACTAAATCAACAACATTTTAGATTTATTAATGCTGCAGGAGAAAAAATGAGCTATATTTGTGCTCACTCCTAAATCAAAGGCTTATATTTTAGAAATTTTAGGGAACATGATTTTAGAGTAATGCTAAAGATCTAAAAGATACTCTGTCATTTAAAAAAAAACAGTATGACAAATTACCCTTCTCAGAAAATTCTCTCTGATTTTTTTGTTAGTATGCCCTTAAGAACTTTGAGACAAAATTGGTCACAAACAGTACTTAAATATAATTTTATAAGAAAATTATTTAAACTATATGGAGTGGGAAGAAAAGGAGGGAGAAAAAGACCACACAGAGAAAGAAAGAGGAAAAAAAGAGTGACAGACAGAATATTTTTGGTCAAAGACTTGGAAAATTTTTTATTATAACTCATCGAAATTTGCTTTCTTTTTCTGTATCTTTGTATATAAAGAAGATCTGCATATTTTGAATAATTACATAAATATTTCCTAATATGACTGCATCCAAGAAATAGAGTATTTCTTTGGAAGTGTTCATTTTTAGAGTCAAATTCCCAAAATAAAAATATTTATTTGCCTGTGATCAACCTAGTGAATACCAATTTCATTTATATTAGAAGTGGATACTAATCTGTCTTCGAGGGCATTTTTTGAGAACATGAAAGTGATCTCTCATATACATTATAACATGTACAAAGGAAGGACTTCAGAAAACAGCTTCTGGCTTATTGCATTTGGGTAGTCATTAGCTAATACTGGCTAAACTTTTAACTGGGACCTGGGTAAATAAATTCCTAATCTCAGATGTTATCTTATTTTAACACAACTTCAACAAACCTTCACAAGCATGAAGTTGTTCAACAGAGTCTATTCTAGTTTATGTAAGTGTGTATCTTACCTGTAGTGCCCTTCTAATGGGAGCTGTACAGTGCCCTCCTCTTCCATAGCTAGCATACTCTGCTCTTCCTGGAAAGACAAATGCAAAGTACAAACAGTGAACCTGATGAATCTCTATTGTACATTAAAGAAGAAACACAGATTAATGTTTCATTATCTCATTAACCTCAGGACCTTCCACTTTGTTTGCATTTATTAATGCCAACATAGGTCCTTTCAATAAAGCCTCAGCTACCAAGAACATAAGTAATTAATGAAAGTCTCATAACACAAAGTAATTTAAAAGCTAACAACAATCGCCTTCATGTCACTCAATGTAAAACATGTTTATTTTCCAAGCAGAGTTTTAAAAAATTAATCTAAGGTTTTAAGAACAAAAGTATGGGTAGTATAATCAGCTTTGTTGTTAAAAAAGTTAAAATTACATTCCTCAAATACTATATTTAAAGGAGATGGAGGACATATTCAAAGCACAGTGGGCCTTAACCCTACATCAGAATCACCTGGAAGGAAATTGTTGGGCCCCACCCTAAAGAGGTTCTGATTCTGAAGGTCTCAAGTAGAAGACACCAAAATGTACATGTCGAACAGGTTTTCAGATGATTTTGATTATGCTGGTCTGGGGACCACACACTGAGGCCCTTAGGACCATTGTGCTTGCTCCAGAGACTTAGAAAGAGACCCTAGAAAGAATCTTCTTATATGAATCAAAAACACATGTGCCTTGTTGGAGGAAGAAATGGAAATAGTTTGATTTCCCCTTAGATACAACTTAAGTTTTTGTTTCATCATTCAGATTTCTTCATATTATGACTTTTCCCAAAGAGTGGTATCTACATAAACACCTTTAAAAAAAAGTTTATTGTAAAGGTGATATACAGGGCTGTTACAGTTACATAAGTCAGGTCATTGATGCATTTCTTTTTGAACCGTGTCACCTCTTCCCTCCTTTCCTCCCAGTTTTCCCCTCCTGACCTCCCTTCCCCACAAGTTGTTCCCCTCTAGTGTCTAGTGAGTATCATTGCTGAATTAGTTCACCCTTTGTCCCACCATTTCTGTGGTCCACCTTACCCTCCCCAAATCATATAAACTTGGAAAAAATCATATTAAATGAAGTAAGCCATATTCAAAGAAACATAGATCCCATGGTTTCCCTCATTTGTAATAATTATTATATGTCTAAGATAGTCCTAGCAGATGAGCAGAATACCTTAATAGATATGTACATATGACCTATAAGATGATGCTAAGTGAAATGAACTCCAAGATATGGAAACAAGAGGCTTTTCTTTGTTGTTGCTGTTGTTGTTGTTGTTGTTTTTGTTTGAGGGCCGGTCGTGGGCCTGAACTCTGGGCCTGGGCACTGTCCCTCAGCTCTTCAGCTCAAGGCGAGTGCTCTACCACTTGAGCCACAGCACCACTTCTGGCTTTTTTCTTTTTGCTTATGTGGTGCTGAGGAATCGAACCCAGGGCCTCAGGCATGCAAGGCAAGCGCTCTACCACTGAGCCACCTTCCCAGCCCCATTGTTGTTGTTTTTAATGTACTATGTGATGTCTTTTTACTTTTGTGGGTTTTTTTTCCCCTGTGGTTTATCCCCTGTTGTCATTGTATGGGCATCCTGGACATTGTATATACATTTATCTGAATTAGGGAAAGGAAGGAGAACAACAAAATGATGAGACAAAGGACAAAGGGTAAACCAATGCAACAGTGATACTCATAAGACACTATGTTGCAAATGAACTGTACAACTTGCAGGGGTGGGATTGGGAGGAGGGAAAGTGGGAGAAATATGATGGAGGGAGTAACAAGTTCCACAAGAAATGTACTCACTAACTTACTTATATAAATGTAATGCCTCTGTACATCACCTTGACAATAAATTTAAATTTAAAAAAGGTATAGAAATCAAAAACAGTGACAAAAGGGGGAAAACAGACAAATAACCCACAAAAAGTAAAATAAAAACTCTTGTTTCCATTGTATATAACATTGTATCATGTTATATGACTGTGTCACATATAAGACAGTGTTGTGAAATGATGATGATCTTGAATCCATCAATTGAAAACATCCTGTCTTAGCCCTCAAATAATGTTGCAATTAATTTTTTCATACACCAAAAAAGTTATCTATAGCTTATATCTCTTGTTTAATGTATTATTTCTGAGAAAAGGTCAGTTGGCATTGTTTAACATAATGATCAAAGAACATTAAAAATATTTTAATTGTTGGTTTTAACTCCTGAAATAGAATTTTAAGTTGTACAAATGTGAAGAACCAGGTCTTTCTGCCCAAATGGACGATGAGAGGCAATGGAGATGATTGTGAAGGCTCACCTCTATGCCTCCTGTCATATTTCTGCAGAGCGAAAGTCAGCTAACCCAGCTTCATCCACTATACTTCCCTGTGTTGTATGTATAATCTTGGGGCTAATGGAATGCCCCTGTACATCCCAGGAACAAAGTTTATTCTCTTTCTCTACTTTCCTTACAAGGCCTATCAGAAGTATCTTATTACCTATGTTTTAGGCCTGTTCCTCTTCCTATTTGGCAGTGCTATTAGAACAAGTTCAAATGAGTAACAGTAAATTCCATTAGTTTAAAATTAGCCATTCAAGCAAAACTGGAGTGGCTCTACAGCCTAGAATGAAGCAGTCTTGCAAATGGTATAGTCAAGATATCTAACACATACAACATATTAACTTTATGCACGTCTTGCCTTTTTTCAGATAAAAAGGGTTCCTTTCCTTTTTTTTTCTATGGGACAGATTACTTGAAAGTTCCTGGAGGGTCATTGGATGAGCACATTTCATGATCCCAGAGTCTGTGTAAGTAAAACCAATCTATATGCAAAATGTAAACCTCTCCTTGGCTGCTCACCGAAAAGTTAGGCCTACTAATTAGCATAATTTCTGGCCAAGTCATAATAAACCGTCAAGAAGGCAGAATGCATTAATAAAGAGTAAAATGAAAAACAAAGGTCTATAGAATAGTGGTAGTAGTGCATAAGTTACCTGGCAGCAGAAAATGAAGGCTCACTATCCAACCGAACAGCAAAAAAAAATTGGACCCAAAGCTTTATGAAGAATTTTGTTGTTTTTTTTTTCTTCAGATGATTTTCCACTTTTCTCTCAAATTGCTTTCAATAATTATTTTGCACTCTGTGGCTTGTTAGCATGTGTGGGCTTTATACTAGTCATAATTCTATCCAAACAAAATCTCATCACCTCTAAAGATAGCATTTCCAAGCCATGCTTATCTGAAGAGAAGGGTGGCAGAGCAGCCGCTGCCTTCAGTGCCAGAAGGGAGCTGGGTGGGCCTGGAGTGGGGATGGAGGGCCGGCTGCATCCCAGGCAGCACTAGGAGGGATCCAAAAATTGAGACTTTCTGGCAAGGAGCAGTCAAATCAGGCACTCGTTGTCACGACTGTAACAATCTAGGATGTTCTCAATCACGCAAAAGGAGCAGAAAGCTAACCAGATATCCACCACAGAAGTACCTTAAAATGAGTTCTACTAGACACTTTATTTCCACAGGGTGCATCAGAGACATGTTGAATTCAACAACACTTGTAGTATGTTGAAAGTATAAGCAAACTTTGCCTAAGAACATTTGAAAGGTATTGTCAGCTTGACTAGTGAAAGATCTAGGCTGACATTCAGATATCATCTTTAATTAAGATAATCCTCAAAGCATTTTTGGATATAAAGATTACTTAATGTTATAATCAGGTAAGGGTAGAAAAGCTGAGGCATAGAATAGGAATCTTCTTGACAGTATTCAAACATTTACTGAGAAGGTATAATGCACTTGACAACGTGAGGGAGGAGAAGATGGGAGCTATGGAGAAGTTAGTTGTGAATCTACATGACAAGTAGCCTCCTAGATTCTAATATATAACAATAAAAATAAAAGCATAAAACCTACTTTCAGAGGATTTGAAGAAGAACCATAGAAAGCAAGGAACAGAAGCTGTAGAAATGAAGAATTCTAGTTAGGAAGAAACAATATGGAATAAGCCTAAGTGATGGGAATAAATGAGATGTTTCTATGAGAGTAATCACTAGCTTGGTTGAGGCTAATGACATGTGCTGGGTTGAACTAGAAAATAACAATTGGAGATAAACTCTGGTGTGCTTTGATAGACAGGGTGACATATAGAACTACATCATGGATTATGCTTTATAACAGCATAAAATAAGACTTTAGATATTATAGCTAGTATGCTCTGTCCTTTTTTAGTGAAATAGGTAACATCTGTTGCTACATCCATTTTTCAGCAAAATGTGTAACTATGTAGAAGTCCAGAAATATCTCAAAGTATAAACAACACAGAGCCAATGTTCACAAAAATGCTTAGAGCATTAAAAAAGTTACTTGAAAAGTTTATAATTCACATTACCAAAGAAATGGAAGTCATTTTACATAAGACCTATAGAATGTAAGAAATACCTAACCTTTTTCTCCCCCAACTAGTAATACAATAGATGCTAAAAACAGTATGCACATGTAAGTCTTTGAAAAACATTAATGTAAAGTGTAAAAGGAAAAAATAAGAGAGTGGTTCAAAGAGACTTCCTATAAATACATGGAGACATCTGTATTTATCATCAGAATAATTGATTCAGCGTCTCTAAGTAGTTGTATTATAAATACTTAATTCTGATGGAACAACTTTGTATTTAGAATTGGATTGTAATCTAGAGATTCAAATTTTATGGTTCTAGGAAGAGGTTTATCTTAAATTTTAGTTTGCATCATATTTATCTGAAGGTCTCTTTAACCCAGATTACTGGCCCTATCCTCAGAGTTTCAATTCAATACATCTGGAGTTAGAATTATCAATCTAACAAGTTACCAGGCAATGGTTGGCTGATACAGTAGAGATCCTGGAACCACTCTTTGGAAAACCATTGCTTGAAGAAGGAGAACATGCTTGTTCTACTGTAAGATTCAATTAGCAATGACATTTGTCTGTGTAATATAGTCTCTGTAATTGGTTTAATTGCATTTGTTTTAGGCGTTTTTGTATTTTCTTGGATTTTTTTCATGACCTCTTTTATTCATATCACAGGACCCTTCTTGTCTTCATTATGTTTTCTTCTAAAGTGTTTGTGTTAAAGTGAAACCTCAGTAAATCAAGAAGTGTTGATATGATCACTTCTGCAGAATTTAATTTCCAGGTTTTAACATTCGCCCCTTTGCCCCCTGTCAAAGAGCAAACATTCTGCTTTTAACAGTAGTCCTTTTGTCAAATGCATACAATGTCCTAGAGAATACTTAAGTAAAAGGAAGGCGTGTTGGTACTCTGAGCACATTTGGACATCCAGAATTTGATTCTGCAGTCTTCCCTTTACACAGAGCAATGTGCAAAATGTCAGGGTTCCAATATTCATTTCTACCCTGATTATAATCCTTTCTTTCTAAAAACTGAAGCATATGTATATGCATATGCATGAAGTACATGAAAATTTGGAACAGAAGCTCTGCGACCTTGGACTGGCCTGTGTAGCTATTTATTCTGCTTAACTCATTATTGAATTTTAAGGTCAAATGATTGTTTTCTCAGTGCCATAAGACCAGAAATGGGCTACTGATAGGAAAACCCTGGAGGATAAAGGTACAGGCATGTAACTATTATCAAAGGGATAAGAGGTGAGCTCACTTTAAATTCAAGTCTCAGAGAGCTGAGACATTTATGCTATTTACCATCGTGCCAGATCATGATCAAGTTACTCAATTTGAACAATTGAAGAAATGCAACATTTCTGGAGAACCTTTCCATTTACCACTTTAATGCACAATCTCCTGGAAGACTAAGCTTTTGATACAGGATGCTACAATAAGAAGATCACATCCTTCAGCTATGAGATATAAGATAAGCCCAAGAAAACAGTGAGATCTAACAAACTAAGCAGAAAACTCAACTAAGGATTTAAGGTTTCATTTCATCTTCCTTAAACATTCCTACTCTCTTCACTGATGCTACTCTTTTAATACCAAGTCCAAGTTAGAACAGAAATATCTTTAAATGTCCTTTTCTTTTTCCAGATTGATGGAGAATTATCTGTCTTTAGTCAGAAATATATTTCAGTGTTCAGTGTTATATTATTTCTTGGCTGTATATTGCTTTTTTCTTATTTCTTGTCATGTACCAAGGACCCTATAAAATATCAACATGTTAATCTTTTGGGATTGTAAAGATCTGTAAACCTGACTGTGAATGTTCGTATTTGGATCTGAAAGATTTAGCTCTAGACTGCCCCAGCAAATCTTCAGTCTATTTTTGTATCATGCAAAAACATGAGTTCTAGAAGATTTAGTGATGTTTAGTACTCTCATAATCTTTACCTTAAAATTAGAAACGAAAAATGCCTATTAGGGTACCATTTGAAGTAATGTGAAAAGCTTAGAAGTTCATGATATAGGGTCTCTGGGGTCTTTATGGGATTAAAAAATTAATAAAGAATCATATATACATACATAAATACATATATATAAATGCCATATAGGACAGCTATATACATGGTAATGGCTAGTTCTATTACACTTGTAATTAAAATTATCATTAACTTGCTCTCTCCCATTTCACAAACTAAATCTTAAATTGTCTTTCAACCAGAGTGTTGAAAAATATTAAAGATGATATGATAGATTACATAATATTTTGAAAGTTCAAAACTCTAAGAACAATGTTTCATGGTGTAGGTGTGGCCTCAAGAGAATGCTGTGAAAGAATTATGGCTAGTAATGTTGTTACCATATTCTACCAGAAACAGGAAAGACATTTGAAAGGAAATAAGAGCAAGAACATAAAGCTGAAATGTATAAATTACTCCTTGAGTGCTTAACAGTGCAATAATTATCAGAGAGACAAGACGAAGCCATAGTCAAGGAGGTCTGTCTTCAGTTATTACCTTTTTTGAAAATTTAAACTTCTTAATTTTTCTCAATCTGAATAATTTAAATTACATCAAGTATGAATAATTTAAAGCATACAACTTTCTGTAGTCTGGTATTCATTTTATTTAAATTTAGTTTTTGCCAAATTCAGTCATATTTTTCTTGACTAATACCTGAGAATATTGAGGACCTAAGGACTTAAAAATAAGCAGTTATCAAAATATGTTAGTAAAAGCTTTCTTTTGTAAGGTAATCTTGACACTAATAAAATAGTAAATTAAGCAGAAAAATAAAGAACTAATGACAGTTTTATAATATTTTAATGTTAAATGTATATCATTAGAAATATGATCCTATATATGCATTCCATAACATTTCAAAATAGAAATATTCACACACAAATAAGATAGATCATCATCTCATGACCTATCTCTTCTTGTGAAAATTCATTATCTTCAAAGGGACACACAAGTACAGGAATCTCAAGCACACACTTCAACCACCATAATGACAGAAAATTCTGAGCAGAAATCTCTGGATTTGTGGTCTAATCTGGCCTTATTAAACAACTGAGCAATAAGGTTCCTTTAATGTTTGTAAATGATTCCCTAATGGAAAGGGGAAAATCTGTATCTGTATCTATATCTATCTATCTACTTATGTGGCTTGAGAAATATGTGTAAACTGGAAAGTGAATGCATAGATTGGCCTTTCGCACAAGGAAGAAAAATAAAAAAGAATAATGCACAGTTTGCACAAGATATTTTCTTCCAATTTATTTCTTCATAGAAATTTTATATTTCATAACACTCATAATTTGTGGCTCAGTCCTTTTTCCTTAGTGTCACAGGGTCATTTTTCTCATTTATATGCCTTGTAGATTTTATGTACTTTGAAAAATGAGATGATTAAGTAGCCTTCAAAATAGATCTATGTTAACATATAAACTTTATATATGCTATAAAGCTTAAAATAAATTGTTTTAACATGTGGAACACAATAGGATAAATCAGTAGTCTGTGAAGATAATAAAAACTCAAAAGTTTCACAAACATTTATTCATCTTAAAATGCTTTGAAAGTAAATCAGGTCATATTTTCCTCTTAGGCATTTCACCCCTTTCAACCACAAGTCAATTCTCCATCAGTACCCTTTATTTAAAACCTTGTCACCTAGCCGGGTGCTGGTGGCTCACACCTGTAATCCTAGCTACTGAGGAGGCTGAGATCTGAGGATCACCGTTCAAAGCCAGCCTGGGCAGAAAAGTCTGTGACACTCTTATCTCCAATTAACCACTAGAAAACCGGAAGTGGTGCTGTGACTCAAGAGGTAGATAGAGCACTCGCCTTGAGCTGAAGAGCACAGGGATAGCACCCAAGCCCAGAGTTCAAACCCCACGACCGACAAAAAAAAAAAAAAAACCCTTTGTTACCTAAAAAAATACCAACATCACTATTATTCCTTTTCCCCCATCTTTTCTTATCCTCAATCAAAAAGTAATGATTGCATGACCATACCTCAGAAATAGAACAGTATCAATGTCTGCCATCCATGTGAGAAGAATTATCAAAATAAGTCTTTTGATTCATAGGATAATTGAGTATTTCATAAAGGGCTAATATCCTCACATTAAACCTTGGCTCGCTGTTCAAATACTATTTTACTGTATCTTATTAAATTTCCACGTCAGTCTATCCAGGGTTGTTAGTAATTACTGTGTAATAATAAACACAATAATTTCATTTTTAGGAGAAATTGTTATTTTACGTTTTTCTTCTTTGTGAGATTCATTTTGCTCGGACTTACTTCTTTTTCAGCATCTTCTAGTTTCTTTTTCTTACTCTCAGGCATTAGATCATCCAACCAGCTGAGCTCTCTTTTGGTGAATAAAAAGTCCATCAACTTTCTTACAAATACCAGAGCTAAAACCTAAAGAGAAAATTAAAAGTAACAAAATATATTAAAAAATGATATGGAGATATAGATGTCCTTGCTATTTGTGGCAAAAATGAGTCAGTTTGGATTAGGGCAAATATTGTAGTAAAAATGAAAATTTGAAAATTTATTTTTCTTGCCACATCCCCAGAGTAATTTTGTGGAAGTTATTCAAACTGTAACATTGATTTGACTATGTTTTCTAAAATACATGAAGTTATAAGTATATGCTATGTTAAGTAAACATTTTAAGATTCTTATCATTCTGATAATTTTTAGTTTAGGCATTCAAATTTACTGTAGTTTTGGGGATATTCAAAATTACTATGAAACATTTAATGACATTTCATTTATAAAATCCCCTAAGTTTTCATGTTTGTTGGTATATTCTTAATGTTAAATTTTGAACATTTGGGGCTGGGAAAGTGGCTCAGTGGTAGAGAGCTTCCTTGCATGCCTGAGGCCCTGGGTTTGATTCCTCAGCCCCATATAAGCAAAAAGAAAAAAGCCAGAAGTGGCACTATGGCTCAAGTGGTAGAGTGCTAGCCTTGAGCTGAAGAGCTGAGGGACAGTACCCAGGCAGAGCTCAGGCCCCACAACCGGACCCAAAAAAAATAAAATAAAATAAAATAATAAATAAATAAATAAATTTTGAACATTTACATGTTTCCATCTGATTTCAATTAAATCAAAGTACTCCATTAAAGATAACAGAGACAAATTAATCTAAATTACTACAGTTCATACTCTTATCTTAGTCACCAGGGTTAGTGCCAAAGTTTATATTAGGGTTCCAATAATTATTCAAAATAACTCTGCTCCAATTTTACCTCATATGTGTTCAAAGAGATCTGAAAATCAATAGAAGAGAAAAGGAGTTGACAAAAGTTCCATACCATCATAGGAAAAACAATAGCAGCTCTTGAAACTTTTATTATCCACAAAAGGCCAAGGCAACTCATCTGAATGACTGTAAAGAGATGGACTTTTCGGAGTGGTACATGCCTTAGATATATAAAATCTGGTTGATGTTTTGCAGGCATCCAGAAGAGCTTTATTCTATCAAATAACTAAAAGATTAAACAGACTACATTGTGTTTAGAAGTAAGACGAGAGAAGACAGACAAGTAGACAATTAATATGGTCTAAGATAAACATTAACATGACATGATAATTAAGTCATCAAACAATGGGATTGGCATAATCACAATCCAAATACATGACAAGCTCAATAAAATATCCTTTATTTTCTTGAATATGGCAACAGTTGTCATTTAGAAGTGTTTACAAATTGTGAAGTCAATGCTAAATGCTGCTAGGGGCAAGCAGAGCCCGGAGAAGCACCTCATAATTATCATCCTCTATTTCATAGAAGCACCTCATAATTATCATCCTCTATTTCATTGTCTGGTCACAATCTCTTTCTCTTGCCCCATCTAAGAGGATTTCCCCGATTTCCTGTGCTGTTTGCCTCTATCTTGGAATGGTTTGTCCATCTTTCTGACTTTGTCTTTCACTTGCTTGGTAATGACTCCCAGAAACACTCTCTGTCTCTGCTCTCTCTGAGTTCCAGACCCTATCCAGCTGCAGCATAAGATATCGTGAACTTCTTTTGAATTATGTTGTTTTGAATTTGAATTTCCAAGGAAAAGTTTTGATGCCACTTGTACAAATACAAACATAACCATGAAGATTTAATCTAGCCAGGCGCCGGTGGCTCACGTCTGTAATCCTAGCTACTCAGGAGGCTGAGATCTGAGGATCGCGGTTCAAAGCCAGTTTGGGCAGGAAAGTCCATGAGACTCTGAAGTCCAATAAACCACTAGAAAACCAGAAGTAGCGCTGTGGCTCAAGCGGCAGAGCACTCGCCTTGAGCTGAAGAGCTGAGGGACAGTGCCCAAGCCCAGAGTTCAAGCCCCACGACCGACAATAAAATAAAATAAAATTAATCTATATGAATTTTTAACAGTGTTCTTTCAGATAAACTCTGTTAGCTCATATTGAATGTCTTTCTTTTTGGTCTTTCTCTCTCTCTCTCTTTTTTTTGCCCTACCAAGATTAAACCAGATTTTTGCACAATACTGAACTATACAAATACTAAGCTATATACCCCAGCATAAAACTTAATTTCTTGATTATTTTCCTTCATTGAACTTTTAAACCATATATATCTATTTCATCTGTATTTTATTAAACTATTTTACTCGGATCAATGCTACTCCTGTTTCAATTTTGTCATCTGAACAGCATAGTTATTTTACAACCTTAAAATATACTTGTTACAGATATGACTTAGAGCCCATTCTATCAAGCGAATCACTTCAAAATTTAGAAATTAAATGTTCAAATGATTAAATCTGTATAGTCACATTTTACTTACTAACAAATCATGCTGCACATTAGATTTCAATGTTTCTAGCATGAAGTGATTAGTTAGGAAATAATGCTTTTAATCATTATCAATCACTGTTCAAGTTCATGCCATTTCTATACTTATATAACCTATGCATTTTCAAAAGAACAATATTAAAATTAGTAATATTTTTTAACTTACAAAATGACAAACAATTATCATAAAATAATTCCCCAATTACTGTAATATGAAGGACAAATATCTACAAGTGTAAATATTAGAGTCACCAAAACTAGATTGTATGTATTGTATGTAGGAATACATACTAGATTGTATGGATTGTATGTATTGTATGTAAAACTAGATTGTATGTATTGTATGTATTGTATGTAGGAATACCACACTTTCTTTCTTTCTTTCTGTGTTCTCTGACTTGTGGGATAGCATTGCCTTCCTTCCCTAAGTTATCTACACTAGAATTTCTAGTTTTCTTTTCTTCTCTTTTCTTTTTTTTGGTCAGTTGTGGGGCTTGAACTCTGGTTGCTGTCCATCAGCTCTTCAGCTCAAGGTGAGCACTCTATCACTTGAGTCACAGTGCCATTTATACTAGAATTTCATGTACATTAATAAGTTCATCCATTGTTCAATAGTCATTCATACCAAAACATTTATTGAAAAAAATGCAGAGTGCTAAGTGCTATACTCATTTTTCAATCACCTCTTTCCATGTTATTCACATTTATGTCCTTGGATTTTTTGCGCCTACTTTTTCAGAATCTCTTAAAAATTGAAACTCATAAAACAAATAAAATTGTGTGCATAGTGGAGGTAAGAATAGGAAAGAAATGGCATGAAATCTTTTGGCTTCCAACTGAATATGTCTGTTTCTATAGAATTTTCTTCAGCTACATTTCTCCACTCGGTTATTGCATAAGAGTACTTCATGCGTGGGTGCTTCAATTGTTATTGTTTAAATGGCACATTTGCTTTACTTTGGATTCCCAAAGTGTTGGAATGAATATAAATGTGGTTATATATCTGAATACAGAAACAGCAGTGAGAACACTGTGATCTGTTTTTTCTGCCATGTTTCACAGTCAGAAGCCTACATCTTAAGTTTCTGAATATTGCCAAACATTCAGGTAACATACATATTCCTCCAACATGTAAGGTTACAAAGTAACACTTCATTGGTGCTTAAACTCATTGTTTCAATAACTACAATTGTATAAAATGAGTTTTGCATTTTGACTTTTAGTATATCTGAATATTGGCATACTACCATTTCCCTATTGAGTTAGCTACAATTCTCAATAGAAATCTTAACCAATGAGCTTGAGATTCACTTAAAATTTCACCAGTCCTATTTCTCAGTGTGAAACTTTTTCAGAATGTAACCTGGTTTGCTGTTTAACTTGTGTTACAACAAACTTATTGTACTTAACTTATGGGCATTTAATAATGTTTTTCACATTCAAAATAATTTCAAAACTTGACATTTTAAGCCTCATGGATATAAAATCATGTGAATAGAATTGGGAGGGAAAAATCTGTTGAGTCAAATCAAAATTATTTTGCTTTGTTTCTTAAACTTCTGCTGTTGTATTTATGAAAGCCTGGGGCCTAATAATAAATACTTTTCACTTACAGATGAAATTAATACTTATGGAACTTTTGCCCAAGGCAAAAAAGAAAAACCCAGAAATCCAAATAAACACTGTAAAGTACACTTCATTATATATTACTGACCCAAAATATACTTTCTACACATAAAATTTTAAATGAACAAATTAAATCTTATTTTAGTAAAACTTCACTACATAATACTTCTCAGCCATCCCCTCTCTTAAGTTCATTTTTTCAGTGTCAATTGAGCAGAACCATGCCATCTATCCCTTGAGTTGGTATCCCCATCTTGAAGTTTTGTCTCAATTCTGACATCCAGCTCTGTCCCAAGGCCTGAGAGCTCTTCTCCCAAAGTCAGAGGCCAGCAGGCTGTTCACTCAGGAACAGTGGTCCTGCCTTGTCAGCCCCTTGGCCTGGTAACTATCCTATTATCTCAGGAAGAACAACAACCCTGGCTATGTCATAGAACTTATACTATTTTCTCCTTTTAGCTGACAGAAAAAAAAAATCTATATAATAAATTTAAGATTCCAGTTTTGTCTCTTTATCAAAGTTGAAGTGTTTGAGAAAATAATTTTTAAGTTATACAAATAGAATTATTCAAAAGTTTCCTAGGGCTGCCATCACAAATTGTCATAATTTTGTGGTTCGGTGAAATAGAAATGTTTTCCTTCATGGTCATGAAGGCCAAAAACTTGAAATGAAGATGTAAGCCAGGCTATGATTCTTATGAAGGCACTACAAAATAAAAGCCTGGCTCTACCAGTTGCAGGAAATGCCATCCTTGATTTGTGGTAGGAAATCCTCAATTCTTCCCTTCATTTTAACATGGCCCTCTTCCTTGTATCTCTGTGTATCTTCTTCTCTGCCTATAAACACCCTCATGATAAAGTTAATCCCATTTCAGTGGAATTACATTCTGAAATTTCCTAAGAATATGAATTTTGAAGGACCATTCACTAATCAAGTCGTAACTGCCTCTTAAAGAAACCAAGATTTTGTGAAAAGCCTTTGCAAATGTTCAGAATATATTTGTGAAAGTTTTCATATGCCTCTGCAAATTCTTTAGAACTCTTGGAGAAATGGAGTTTATTTTCCCTCCTCTGCACAAGCTATACTTACTTCTAACCAAGTCAATATCTGAACATGGTCACACAAAGTTACTCTGGCTTTATCCTTCTCTCTCTCTCCTTTCCTCTCCAACTCTGTCTCTCTTCTCCTCTCCTCTCCTCTCCTCTCCTCTCCTCCCTTTTCCTCCCCCCGCCCCCCCCCCCTCACACATACACTGCTTATCCAAGTTAGCTTCCATGATAAAAATATCCTTTGAAAAGGTACTTGTGACTAAAACTAAAGGCCCATTAACTAACAATAAGAATGGAACTGATACCTCTTGCCCTTAGCCCTGTGACAAGCCATCTTGAAGATGAACTTCCAGTCCTATTCAACCTTCAGATGACAGCAACCCTTGTCCCCATCTTTACAACAACCACAGGAGACATATTGATCCAGAACCACCTAGATACTAATGTTCCTAGATTTATTATCCCCACAAACAGTGAGATTATAAGCTACTGCAATGAATAGTTGATTTTAGGCAGAAAATTAGTAAGCCAAAATTAATACATCTAAAACACTTGTTTAACATGAATGCATAAAATTTCTCTCCTATTTAAATTGTCTTCCACTATGCCTTTGTTTATAATTTTTAAAAGGAATTCTACAGATTAAAAGTAATTATACAAACCAAAGGAAAAAGTATTCACTCAGAATCTATCTTAATGAACTGCTTTTACTTTTCATCTTCACTTTTAATCCAGTACAAGCTCATAGGTTTATAAGTGCATGGTGGGTACTTGTTCACTTTTGATTATGTCATATGTATTATTACCATACCACTTTTGTGGTCCTCATAATCATTAACTTTTGGTAAATGTACTTAATTACTTAATTGGGTTGCTTTCTATTTTGATAGCATGAATTGCAATAAACATCTTTTGGGGAAAAAAAACTTTTCTTTTGCATGAAGCCTTTTTCTACTATCACAGATATCCACAGACATAATTAGAGTGTCAAAAGTTGTAAGTATTTGCATAGCTTTAAAAACACTGACAATTGTTTTCTAATGATGGTAATAGCTAAACTTCTTAGAGGTACTATTATGTTTATGGTAAATAAAAGTACTTAGAGATTATAAATCATCAGTACCAAAAAGGATTTTCTTTAACTTTTGCAAACTCTAACCTGTTTGAACAAATTTAATTGTGGTCTGCTCCTCAGTAATGTCATTTTTCTCATAACGCTCAGTATTATTTGGCTTAGCTCCACTAGTCCTTGATATACCTGTAGTACTAAAAGCTATTTACCTGAATTCCCTTTAGAGATGAAGCACCCATATAAAGAAACACTCCATATAGCACTGGCATTGGGATGAACTGTAAATAACAATTGGAGAGAACATACACATGATTTTCCAGTCATTCAATTTTACAGTTACAAAAGAAAAAATAGTAGATCAAATTGTTTCGAAAGCAACTATAGCTTAGAACTCAACGACATGTTTAAAATTCCATCTTTGAAACTTTTTAGTTGTATAACCTTAGATATATTAAAAGTTCCCTATACCTTTATTTCTCAATTCCTAAAAAAATTAAAAGATGACAACTATAGTGCTATTATAAGTATCTAAAGGGTCAAAACTATTTTTAAAACCACATGATACGTAAGTAACAATAATATAAACTATTACACTACAATCAATATTAACTATTACATTACTTTAAAGATCATTTAAATCTTATTTCACCATGGCAAGGGATTTGGATTAAAGTGAGAAATTAAAGTTCCATTTAAAAAGGTAGTCTTATATTGAGTCAGACGTTTCTAAACATATGAATTGCTCAAGTGGTCTCTTTTTTTTGAAATAGCAGGAAATAATCCTTTGTCTGTAATTGCTTTATGACAGAAGTTAAATCTTGAAATTGTACTTATTTCAATGATTAAATACCTGTAAGCTGGCATAAAGTATTAAATAATTCAATTACAGGCAACAAAAATTAATGATAGATTCTAATGTGATTTGGGATATCTACCAAAATTACATGATAAAACAACTACTCTCCACTGCTTTTCAAATGGATTCAGTCATTTAAATGTGAAAAAAATAATTGTCTACAATGATGATATCTAGGCAGTCGTTTTACAGAGCCTTTTCTATAGAAAACAGAAAACTATTCATGTAAATGTGTCCACAGCTGTGCTCATATGCACATCTCGGATTGATAGTAGATAATATTAATTGCTGATAAAAGTGGCCATTAATACAAACTTTAATTTGTGTAGGCCCTGCAGTGAATTTAGGTCATCAGTCAGTCAGAAATGACTTTTTCTATAGCTTGATCACTATCTTAAATTATTACAATAATTTACACTTCAAATTTTACTCTTCATCAGTGCAGTTTTATGTATTTAAGTATCCTAAAATGCAGGACCTAATTTTAAGTAAAGATGAAAAATCACATAAACATGACAAAAGATGTTCATCGCAGTCATCTCCCATGACACGGTTTTGAATTTTTGCCTTATATTCTAATGAAGATATTAAATATATATTCTGCCGTCTCATGAATTTATAAAGGCAGATTTTATTACCTTCAGGATACTGGTCATAAAGACTGATGAGCCCATAAGAATAAAAATCATAAGCCCAGTAACCCTTTGTTCTCGAATGCCAAGAAATTTCGGCTGTTCTCCTGGAGCCGAACATTCTGATTCCAACTTCAGGCTGTTGACATGAGTGATGGAGAGGACGGTGGCAGCCACAAACCAGGGCAAGCCCATGATGGAGCACACCCCAAGCATCACGGCCACCATCAACAGGTCCAGATGGTACCCACAGCCTTTCTGTTAAGAAAGAAAAGGCACTTTGTCAACAGCACACCAAAGATGGCCTGATGAATTGAAACCACTTCCTGACAAAACAGGAGAGGCCCTCTATGGCCAATCCCCTCTAGATAAACTCTCAATGAGTGACTTTTTCATTGGGGTAAAATAAAATCATACAGCCTAAGCTCCCTTAGTTGTACTTATTTTTTATCTCAATATATTGCAATCACTTTATCTCAATATACTGTTTTCATTTTGTTTCCCCTTGAGAAATGCAACTCAGTCCCAACTTAAAATGGTAGTTTTGTCTCCTCTGTAAGCTATTCCAATACCACTAATCAGCTACTCTGCTACTCTACCCCACCATCCCCACCTTCCAAACTGTATTAAACTAAAGTCTTTCCAAGAAGCACATAGAAAAGGAAAGTGAGGAAACCCAAATGCAATGGGGGTGTGAGGACTTGTACTAGTGACAGGATAACTAGCTCAGGTCTCTGAGGAGAGATTTCAATGATGAGGAAGAAAATCATTATTTTTGCCCATGGCGTCATGTAGGGATAGGAAAGTACATACAAAGCTTTTGGTAACGAGAAACTTGGCTTCTTTTGTGTTCCAAATCTAGCTTTTAAATTTTTTTAAAATTTAACTTCAAGCTAAGGCACTGGTAGCTCAGTGTCTCAAGGGGCTGAGATTCAAAAGTTTGTTATTTGAAACCAGAACAGGAAGGAATGTTAATGAGACTTGGTCTCCAAAATAACCAGCAAAAAGCAGAGCTGAAGTTGTGATTGAAGTGGTAGAGCAAAGAAATAGCTCCAAAAAAAAACCAAAAGCAAAAAACAAAATGCCATTTCACAAGAGAAAGTGAAATAAAGGGTTAAGGGTGTAGGTTCTGGAGGACAGACTTCTGCGGGATTAAAAGCTGACTCAACAACATCATTGACAAATCACTTAACCTCTTGGGCTTCTTTTTCCTATCTGAAAAAAAAATCTGCTAATGATAAATAGAAAGCACCTCACTGAGCAGTTAAGAGAATTGAGTCTTCTAACCTTGCAATTCATTTAGAATAACAGTTTCTGTGTAGTAAACACCTAGGCAATGTTAGATATTATAATATTTTAGCAGTTGAACAGTAACACATTTTCTACTCATTTTAAGACTTCTAAATAAAATTATGTCTCTTAGTAGCAGATAAATCTCCCATATTTTTCTCAATATTGATCATAGGTTTAGCAAACCATTAACACACAAGAAGCAATTAATAAAATTTACGCATTGACTTTTTAATAGGAAATTGAAACATCACTGAAACATTTCAGGATTGAATTTAAGAACTGTAATTCTAAAAATAAATACAGCAATTAAATTGGATGTGATGGTGAGACAAAATGGCCATTTCTTCAATAAAAATAACCTTGGCCTTTTAAGAGGCAGTTTATCAAACTGCACCCAGTTTGTAGTTCACGGCAAGTTCTCATAGCCTGAAGGGTGAAGCATCGTATTTGTTATATAATTGCCATGTGATGTTTTTCTCTATTTTGTTGTTGACTTCTTAAGGAAAGGATCATTAAAGTCACATATACTTCCTTTCTCCTTCTTATCTTTGCCAAATTATAAAACTCTGAGCAATGGTAACAAGGAGAAAATGGGAAACATTCACTCAAGGACCTTTCCTACTGGAATGCCACCAATTCAGTGGTAGCCTTTCCTTATGTCACTTAGCTCAGGCAGTGTTAGAGCTCACTCAAATGAAAACTTTCCTCTCAATTTCCCTGGAAAACATGTATTTGGAAAATTCTTTGCAAGTAATTCAGGAAAGATTTTTATTGATAAAAGTCACAGAATCATCCTGGTATCTGCATAACTCTAAAGGCATAGGGAGACATTTTACTCGGGTCATATGGGTTCCTGGTCTTCCTGCAAACCATTTTGGAAGATGTGGTTCCACCACATAGAACACGTGTTGATCCCTTTAAAGGACAATGTCTTAAGTGATTGTAAGGGTGTGCTGTTCTAGAGTAAAACTGATATAGGGAGTGCAGTTTCTAAATAGTCAGATACCTAGCTCTGAGGAAGTACATGTGGTTGTGCCCCAGAGCATTGTAAAGTTGTAGTAGTGCTGAAAGGAGCAGAAGCAATAAGAAAATCTGGCGGCCAGGATGTGAACAACAGAGAAGGACAACACAGAGAAAGGCCTTGAGAATAGAACTTGGGCATTTTTTCATACCATGGACTAATAATATGAAAAAGTATTCTTTGTGAGAATGATTTAGTATTTCTCCGAAGAGCTGTTTTTCAAAGATGATAAAATGTAAAGAGTGAAATTCTAGATTTAGAGTTAGAAATTTAAATTTGAAATGTACAAAGCTAGCTTTGTTATACACAAATACATCATAAAAATAAAAAAATGTATAACTTCCTCCTGGATTATTCTGTACAACAATGAGATCATCTTGTCTCAGTGAAAACCAAAGAAAATAAAACAGTCCTGGCACTTCCACTAATTAATCAGGATCCTTCTTGCTTTTTATTTAAACTGTCTTTAAAAATTTGGTCTTTGTATCCAGATTATTAGCTGATAAGCCTGCCAGCCAAAGGGAAGTATCCCTTTGTCAGAGAGAGAACTCTGTACCTTCTAACATATTTCTGTATGTTTTTTTCTCAAATACAGACAGAACTGGAGCTTTTATTCTCACATTCATCCATGAATCATGGGAAATGGACATATGGGAGGAAAAGGGAGCATAGCAACAGGTGATGCTTCACCAGACCCCACTAAAACCAACATGCAGCAAGACAAGAGGCCAGCCAAGAGGACCATCTGATACCCAGATGCCACTGCTGAAAACTCATTTCAAAGCTTGGCAGCAATCTCCTGCATCTGTCAAGTTAACCACATAAAAGACTATAGATTGACATGAAGAACCAGGCTGACAAAGAGGGCAAAAAAGAACATATCAAATGCCATAATCATCAAGAGAATATGGTGCCAAGTGAATGTTGAAAATGCATTCATTTACTCAAGTGAACTGGGACTGTATTGCTGTTTATTAAAAATGATGTCAAAAGAAGCCTGAACTGTCTACAGAAACATGTAGAAAAGCCCACAGTTGTATCTTAACAGAAACTTTCTTTTATTCAAGATAATGTCTCTCATTTGACGTTGAAAGAATATGCTTTAGGGGGAAAAAAAAACCTGTTCTTTTAATGTGTGTTTTTTTTTAAAGAGATTCAGTTAACCTATGCCTAGCTCACATCTCTAAGGAAGAAACAAACAAACAAATGCTAGAGTGTGGATTCAGATCTCTATATATCAAAATATAAAAAATTTCTAATGACATTTTTATGTTCAGATTTTATAAATACAGCTTTGTTCACTCTTGAATGTCCTAAAGGATCTTGACATACCCTGAGAACAGAGCTTTGTCTAATTATTGCTTCCTCATTTGCAGCTTGTGATAAGTCACTTAACTGGTGAGTTGGGCTTTACCATATGAAGCCCCAAACCTTTGTATTGTATACATTGTAACACTTATGAATGATTATTTTTCAACAATTGTCATGAAAAATATCATTCAAAACAAAACTAGCTTTGGGTGATGGATGACACAAAAAAATGAAAAGACCTAAAATATGTTTGATGGAAACAAAGAATAAAGTGAATTCTGAGATGGTCCGTATCTGTGATGGTGGATTAAATATACCTGGAGTATATATACACTGTACAAGGTGCTCCATATAGAAACCAGGAAATATGATTCATTAAAGCAATTTCAAGGAATTTGTCAACCAAGAAAAAATGGGTTTTCAAGTAAGAAAAGAAAAATAAGTAAAATGTGGAAACGTGGTTAACTTGTGGTCTGGGGATATACTAAAAAAATCTTTTTTGTGACAATGTGGTTCAAGCCAAAGCCAGGAGACTTTGCAAACATTTCATGAAACAACAGGCGGGGAGAACAGCCATGGAACAAACTGTTATTCTGGGTAGAGTTCTGAGAACGTGGTATTTTTGTTGTTAACAAGAAAATCAGCAGCAATGAACTATACTGTAGCGAAGTTTATAGATGGCAAGGGCTGTAGGCCAAAAGTAAGTTTTCACAGTAGATAAATTATGTCTTCACTAGAAGGAACTTGCTTTGAAAAACATCTCTGTCTAAGGAGGAGCTTGGATGGCAGTGTGAGCAAGGACAATGACTACCTGTGGCACACAGCAGAGTTTCTGATGAAGCCAGATTTCCTCTACTTTCACTAAGTCTATGACGTTACAGGGCAAAAATATGACCTTTTTGATTATACTTACTTATTTGCATACTAAAAAGGTTGCATGGTTTCCCTCATTTGTAATAATTAGAATGTGCCTATAAATCTATAAGTAAAACCAATGGATTGTAAAACACATAATTACACTTGGATATGATTAATTAAGCAGCACTCTAAACAGTCACACAGTGAGACCAAAGGAGGATATTCTTAGGAGAGGATCACAAAGGCTCAATAGCTATGTGCATATGATCATATAAAATGATGCTTATCAAAATGAACTTCAAGAAATGTAAACAAAAGGATTTTTTATTTTACTTTTTATGGCTCTTTCTGTTTCTGCTTTTCCCATTTTGTCACTGTTTTAGATTTACATTCCTTTTGTCATATATGTAAATGTATCTGTTTTGGAAGGGGAAAAGGAAACACGGAACAGTGGGATGAAGGGTGAACAATTTAGCAGTGATACTCACTAGCCACTATGTTGAAAATGAACTATACAATTTCGGGGTGAATGGGGTTGAGAGGGGAAAAACTGGGAGAAAATCAAGGAGGAGATGACACTGTTTTAAAAAATGTACTCAATATCTTACTTATGTAACTGTAACCTCTCTGGTACATCACCTTTACAATATTTTTTAAAATGGTTTACAAATCTAGCCTTGGGTTTATTTCAATGACAATATACTAAATATTTTAGTTTTGATTTCATTCTATGAATAGAAGTATTTGAGATGCTCAGTTATACACTTTGTTGTTGTTGTTGTTCATAGAGCTTGAACTCTGGGCCTGGGCTCTGGCCCTGAGCTCTTCAGCTTAAGGCAATTACTCTATCACTTGAGCCACAGTGCCACTTCCAGTTTTCTGGTGGCTCATTGGAGATGAGCTCACGGACTTTCCTGCTTGGGCTGGCTTTGAACCATGATCCTCAGATCTCAGCTTCATGAGCCACCAGCACCCAGCTATTTTAGTTATTTCTGTACTCTATGTACAGTGGGAAATAATGTGTCACTCTGGAACTTTGGGAAGGATTTGAATGGCACAGGCTCAATACAGGCTGATGGAGCACAAGAAGCAAGAGTGTAGGCAATGATTTATAGGTTTAAAAGACCTGGACAGAGCAAAGATACACAATGACTAAGAAAATAATTATATCACCCTTAAAAAAATCATCTTAATTTACTACCAATTTATTTTGACATGATTCCACTAATACTTAAAAACGAACACCTAAATAGCTGAAATCATAGACTGTGCACAGAGAAAATTTCATCAAAACATTTATTTTTGCCTTTCTTCTGCTAAAAGTTAAACAATAACTATATTGGCTTATTGTTTTCCTAATATATTGTCTTCAGTTAATTTTAATATATGCCATTTAATAAAATATTACATATTCATTAAAAATAATTGATATGAATGATCAACATGATAATGTTCCTAAAAGAAAAAAGCAATATACGGAATTTCTTTTTAACCAGGCTTTTTTTTTTTTTTTTTTGCTTATGTGGTGCTGAGGAATTGAACCCAGGGCCTCATGCATGCAAGGCAAGTGCTCTACCACTGAGCCACCTTCCCAGCACAATATATGGAAATTTTTACTTAGTACTAGATTTGTAACTCAGTGGTAATTCCTTAGTTAAATCGGTAGCAGGAATGAATGAGAAAGTAGTGAAAAGAGGAGGAAGAGGAGACAGGTGGAGGGAGGAAGAAGAAAGAAAGGAATGAAGGAAGAAAGGAAGGGAAAGAGGGAAGAAGGAAAGAAAGGGTAGGAAGGAATTAGTGATGGAGGCAAGGAGGAAAAAAAAATATATATATAGTTGGGTCTAAATGAAACAACACTATTTCTAGGTAATTACAGTATTTTTCACTTTTATCCTTTAACATTTATAACCTGATTTTAAAATGAAAATCATGTCTTACTTTAAAATGAAAATAAATAGATATGCTTTCAGTAGTATGAAATTCTTCCTATATCTTAGAGAATAGCAGAACAACACAATATAATGTGTTTAAACTTGTTTTATAGATCTAACTAATTGGTGATCAATGACATCAACAATCAAGTTGTGGTGTTATTTTCCTTAGTAGAATGCTTTTTCAAAGTAAATATTTCAAACTAGTGACAATTAATAATGAGGCTACTAAACTTGAAAATCTGACTTTCTTATTTCAAAAAGTAATTATAAAAATAACTTGGATTTTCCAATGCTGTATAGCCTAAAGAAGTGGCTTACAATGAGAACTAACTTAATGAGAACTTAATGTGATTTGTGGGAACCAATTATTTAACTTAAAACTTTTCTTGCCAACAGGGATGATTTGGCTTTTTTTTCTAATTTGTATGCCTTTTATTTATCTTTTTTTCCTGCCTAATTGCTCTGGCTAAAACTTCTGCTACCATATTGAGTAAGAGTGGTAAGAATAGAAGCTTTTGTCTTCATTCTAATCTTAGAGGAACGGCTTTGAGTTTTTTCCCTGTTTGGTATGATATTAGCAGTAGACTTGCCATGTAAGACAGACTCTTATATCTGATGGTATACCAAGGAGACAATCTTTGTGAATGCTGGGCATGACTAGGGTTTAATGCTGTGCTACACATTTGGTTCATTTTTCCCACAATGCCACCCAACTTCTGCTAAGGACATGCTACTTTCAACAATTCTAAAAATGTTCATTTTACCACTTGAATTAAGTTTGGTACATACTCTTTGGGGCCTGAGAGTACTATACATTTTATCATGTTTTTTCAAACATCATTTCTGTAGGAGATGCATATTTTCACAAAACTAAGGGTTAGGAACAAGCAAGCCAAGCATTGGACTGACAGTAATAACATGGGACTGCCTAAGATCCTCTCCAGATTAACTGAGCCGATTAATTCACAGGGAGGCATTTATATTTTTGATTATAAAGTCCTTTTATTTTATTTACTTATGTATGTTATTGCATTTGGCTGAAAACAAATGTAATAAATCAACAAATTAGATGAGTTTACCGTATTATTTTATTTACTTATGTATGTTATTACATTTGGTTGAAAACAAATGTAATAAATCAACAAATTAGATGAGTTTACCGTATAGACTGTATTGTTCTTGAGGCATGATCCTTCTCTATCTTATTAGTTCAGGACTTATATTGAGAGGAATACTGATATTAATTAAATGCTCCACTGTACTGATTGCAATTAGTTAATGTGTTGATAATTTTAACAAAAAATAAAATATTTCCTTCCAGTTAATGTGATTTTTATAAATCAAAACAGGCCATAGTGGTAATATCCACACCACAGAAATCTGCAAATATAAATCAAAGTCACTATTTTGTACACAGAGAATGATTGTTAAATTGGACTGACACACCACTGCTCTAGTTCTTAGAGCTTCTTGAAATAAGCTTAAAAATATATCTCTAAGGATAATTAAATATTTTACTTAACAAGCCCCAAATGAGTTGGACAAATTTTTTTTTAAAAAAGAGGGAAGCAAGGTGCTGAGCATCTTAGTTACAATCTCCAAAAAAAATGAGAAATGTTCCTTTTTAAAAAATTATTTATAAGTTGTTGTGCTAAGGAGTGACCATTCAACAAATCAGTTTATGAATACAATGCATCGTGATCAATGTCATCCCTTCCACCATTCTTCCCCATCCTTCCCAACCCTTTTCTTCTCCTCAATTTTCTTAATTATGTGGGTATGCATTAAATTGTATTCTCCCCATCCCTTCCTTTTTAGTGTGGTGGTTCACTCTTGTGATCCTTAGAATCCAAAGCTTTCCCTGGGAAAATTATGTGACACCCTACCTGAGAAAAAGGGCTGTGAGTCAAACTTCAGTATAGAACCCCACAAAAGACAGATACAAGTTCTCTTTAACACATGCTCCAAATGCCTTCTTAGTAAGGTAGGTCTTACTCCTTCTAATCTAGAGTTTAAAGGATATGTTAAGATAGTTGGAACAAAATGAAATTGTGTATATTCTTTTTAAACAAGACTTGATTCTAATTATTTTAACCATTTAGTCATTTCATTAATTTTGTTTCGTATATACCTATAAATGGAAGTGTTCACTGTGTCAGACAATTGCATGATAGTGAAAAACTTAGATAATCCATAGCTACCAAATGACAGAATAAAAAGGAATAGCTATCCATGTGTATTCTTTTTGTGAAAAGTAAAGTTAAAACCTGCAATAAATGGAAAACAAAAATAAAAGAAAAATGAATAGACTTAGTGATCATTATGTTAAAAAAAATAAACCAGATAAATATCACTCTATCATGTGCAGGATCTAGTCCTTAAATGATAGGAAAGGAAAATGAGTTCTGTTGTGGAATGCCAGCAAGAAGAGTAGAAAAAAATGGAGAAAGTTTGGGGATGTGAATATGCTCAAAGAACTTTATATACATATGTGACAATAGAACACTGAAATCTGTTCCTAGTGTTCTAACAAGAGGGGAAGAGAAAGAAGAATGGAGGGGATGAACTTGATTGAGGCAAGCTGTATGCATATATGTAAATATCACAATGAAACTGCTTTGTATAATTAACATCAGATAATGGAAATGGAACAAAAAATGAAAAAAATCTGCATTGAAACACAAAGAAGTCATTTATAATTGTAACATTGGCTGTTTTAGGCATTAAAAACAGAATAATAATGACAGAAAAAATCTAATTAAATTCCCTAATTACATTTGTAATTTGTATTTGTAAGTGTAACTTTTTCTAACAAGAATTCAATGTAATGGATATTGCTTAGGATCAAATCAAGGAATAGATAAATCCCAGATGTAAGACAAATTGGCAAAGTTGTAATGACCAGGATAGATTATTTGATTAATATGCATTAAATATGCTAAAATGAGGACCTTAACAATGCTTTGTTTTTTAAGTCCAGAAAGTAAAGCCTCAGACTTTAGAGCTTAGCTAAGTCCTACAAATATATATTTTTTTATTGTGAAAATACCATACAGAGGAGTTACAATTACATGGTCAAGATATGAGAACATTTCTTATCAAGCATTGTTGCCTCCTCCTTTGTTTCCCCTTCCTATCCCTTCCCTTCTCCCTCCCTCTGCCCTCCTTACCCCCCATATTCTGCATTTATTTCTACAGCAAAATATTTAAATGGTGTTTATAGATTCATAACTGTTATTTTATAATTGTTATTTTTATAAGCTACCTTACAAGGTAGCTTTAAAATAACAATTATGAACTTATAAACACCATTTAAATATTTTGCTGTAGAAATAAATGCAGAATATAGGTAAGTCTGCTGAACACTGATTGCTACCAGTTAAATTAGAATTATTTACATTAAAATGGATGTTAACATATACCTTTAGCTTATGTTCTTTTCTGTTGATGATGACAGCTGTAATCTGTTGATCCATAAAAATTAGAATAGTACAAAGCAATGCTGGAATAATAGCAGCTATGACTGTCCACCATGGATTTGGACCCAAAGGTGTAACAAACCAGCCACGATCATCTCTAGTGGGCTGAGAAAATCAAGCGTATATATATTAGTAGTGGATTAATGAACACTTACTTAAATTAAAAGCCATAGATTCTAACAGGAAATTATAAACTTGCAAGCCAAGTGGGTTACAATAAATCATGATACTCAGGATGTGTTATAAGGTAACAGCCATTATTTGAACTACTTTAACTCATCCTATATAGCACTCTAAAGATGATGGAGGGGCTGGAAAGTTGGCTCAGTGGTAGAGTGCTTGCCTTGCATGTGTGAGGCCCTGGGTTCGATTCCTCAGCACCACATAAGCAGAAAAAGCAAGAAGTGGTGCTATGGCTCAAGTGGTAGAGTGCTAGCCTTGGGCTGAAGAACTGAGAGACGGTGCCCAGTCCCAGAGTTCAGGCCCCATGACCAACCAAAAAAGAAGAAGAAAAAAAAAAGATGACAGAGATAAGAAAATCAAAACAAAGAGTGATCTAGTAAATTGCTCAAAGTTCCAAAGTATCTTTAAGTGGTACACATGGAATTTAAAGTCTGACAAACCAAGAAAATAAAATATTATTAATATTTACCTTGTGCTATTGTCAAATATATTTATATTTACAAATAGTACATTGACCACTGGTCTAGAACTAAGAAAGACAAATCAGAGTCTTTTGTTTTCAGCTTAGAGTCACAGACAACTGGACAGAATGTTTCAATATAACATAAGTTATTTTATACATAGGCATATGGAAATATAGGAAGAGTGAAACAATTAAAAATTAAAATTTAGTCACATCTGAAGCTTAACAAGGGTCAGCTTCATCTAAACAAGGATAATGTCTGAGATGAGTCCCAAAGGAATTCATTGAGACAACTTTATGGGGGTGTTCCCAGCCCTGTTTGACAAATGAGAAAAAAGGGGCATACAAAGGATAAGTTACTGGTTCAAGGTCACATACCTATTCTATTCAGAGACTATTTTTATCTGACTTTTAAGCCCTTCCCATTGTATAATTCTGCCTCAAGATAATGAATTTCTTCTTAGTTTCAAAATGCTTCTTTGTTTTTTTAGGACTTGCATTACACATAGATATTCTCTCTGGGACAACTAACAGGAAAGTTGTTCAAGCAACGTGCAGTTATTTTCATATGATTTATATATATATATATATATATATGACAAAATTTAAGTCATTCTATGTATACTTGTTTAATTCCTATCTATTTATTGCATATTTTTATTTTCCTAAGTGCTAGAGTTATAGACATTGAGTTATTGAATATTATATAGAGAGACATAAAAAAGTAAATAGGTGCTGAGAAGTATAATAAATTCACCTTGAAAACACTTGGTACTTGTAGTTTTGGTGATGGGATCCCAATGGCATAGTCAATTAAGACCATACACAAAATTGTAAGAAAGACAGCAAAATCACTCACGATGGATCGAACCTAAAAATAATGAAAACACTTGTCACTTGAATGAGTTATAGATATCAAAAATACTCAGGACCATAACCTAGAGTCACACATTATGAATACTTATAAATGATACATAATATCATAATATATTTTATGTATTCTTATATATTACTATTAGCTATGACAGAATACATGTTACATATTTCTATCATTAAGATGAGTATGTACTCAATCTTTCCAGAATGAAGACTTACAGAGTAGCCCTAGTGGTGTTCATGCTGTTTTCAATATATATTTAATACCCAAGTTTATTATGAACCCAAACATGTGAAAAATTAAAACACAGAATAAGGTTTTGTGACAAAAATTTGTTTGAATTTTAGGCTTCTTTTTCACCCAGGTAACATTTTAATATGATAAATCTACAGCACCATAAAAATAATGTTTTTATTTAAAAATCTTAACATTTTATTTTACCTAGGTTCTAAGTGTTGTGGCTGGTAATATGCTCAATAGAGAGGGCAAATTTAAACTTTATTCAACTTAATATGTATGCTAGGCCACATGTGGACCCATGCCTACAATCCTAGTGATAAGAGACATTGAAGGAAGAATATCATGGGCCAGGCTAGCCTTGGCAACAGTTCAATACATCATCTGAAAACTAACAAAGTCAAAAGGAAGTAAAGGTATGTTTCGAGTGGTAGAGTACCTGCATAGCAAGTTCAAGGTCCCAAGTTCAAACTCTAGTAATAGGGGTGTGTGTGTGTGTGTGTGTATGTGTGTGTGTGTGTGTGTGTGTGTATGGATGGATGATATATTTTATGTAACCAGTTGCTCAAGCCATTTCTCATTTGTAAAGTCATTTTGACCAAACACTCATATAATTATAAGCAAAAACTGTCATTAGAATTCCTTCATGATATGTATTAAGTACTTACAATATACTTAAAATTACTGCTTCAACAGATATAAACATAAAATATGATTTTGAATTAGTCAGAATATGCTTTGAGAGAAGAAATGGATCTTCCACCTCAGGAAGAAGAAAGTGATAGAAAAAGAAGCCCTCTCTGGAAAGAACAGTTCTTGAAACATTTTCCTAGAGTGGAATTTTTATCAAAATTTATAGCTCAACCCTAAAAAGCTCATTTTCTTGTTTCTTTTTTTTTTCCTTTTTTTTTCCTTTTGGCGGAATCAGACATTATAGGTGTTACTTTGCAGTGTTAAATATTGAACTGAGCTGTTTCTCTGTTTACTTTCCTTTCCAAATATGCAGATGAAACATGGTGGGTTAGGGGAGGGACTGACGCTTTAAAAATGGAAAAAGAGAATAATGTTCCAATGAGGCTTTCAGGGCTTTCCCAATTAGAGAAGTAACAGTGGCTTCTCCGAGGTATTTGTCAGGTTGGACTACTTCCCACTGCTCACTGGGCAAAAACGTGCCAATCAGTAATGCAGTGTGGTTTGAATTTCCAAAAAAAACTTAAGTGGGAAAGTGTGAGTTAATCCTTGCATTTGCAACAAGGAAAAAGCTTGCAGAACTCTGCCCTCCTCCCTGCCACCTCTAGCACTCTTCTCCGCTTTCCACACCCTACCTCTAATTCAACAGGTCCTTGACACAATGCCTTTTTCTCCTCCTTTCATTCCATCAAGTGTCCTGAAGAATACATATTGTATGTCATTTATATTTAGATCAGGAAAATTATTGTCTAAGTACCTTGGTTGGAAAGTATCTGCTGGTCTTGAATTGTTTCAGGGTGGCTGACATTGTGACTGTAGAAAAGAACAGGATTACAGACCAAAACAGAACATCTGGGACATAGGGGTGATCGTGGCCACAGGCACGTCCAATGTACTCTCCGTGAAGGGATTTGCATTCCTGCCGCAGGAAGGAAAGCACATAGAGCAATTAAGGTAAAGCTAGCTACTTATCTTTCAGAAAGTTAACATCTGATCAATTGTAGTTGAGATTCTCAAGCTGGTTTATGGCTTTCACAGCAGACATTACATATGTTTTCCAAGTTCTTTGGATAAGTAATTGCAAATTATGTACAATTGGGGCATGAACTATTTTGTTAAACTTTATCCTTAAAAACTGAACTTAAACTAAGGAAAACACGATTTACCAATTAGTATTTATTAAACCTCAGAGCTACTAAGTTCCAAACACCAGATAAACTGAAAATATAATGCCCTTGATAATAAATGATTACTGATAGCAGACACAAAGTCAAAATATTTTCATACATCATTTTAGTTTGTACACCAATTGTATAGACTTATGTATATTTCATATCTGAGGCAACTGAGGCATGGATGAGTTAAGCAATTTGTGGTAGCCTTGCCACTGATAGACAGCACAGAGCTGAAACACAACATGATTTCTGTGGTGAGAATTAGTGCATATAAAAGAAGAAAAAATATTTTGAAGAATTATCTAGTTCAAAGTGCCAACACAGTTGAGAAAGGTAAGATATAACAGTGATAGATATACTTATGAAAATGAAATTGTGAGTCATAGATAGGACTCTTGAACCTATGTTAAAGAACAAATGACCAAAAGAATCACTATATGAGTGAGGCATATCATAGTTAATGATTTCCCTGTGATCATTCCTTTTGGTACTGTATCTCTACTCCTGAAAAAAATCTAATTACTCCCTTAGCCATGCGGTGGCAGCAAAGTCAAAAAAATTTCTACAAGAAAACAGCTCTATGCTTCAGGACAAGGGGCAAACCAATGCAACAGCGATATTCACAAGACAGTATGTTGGAAATGATCAGTACAACTTGAGGGGGGGATTAGTGGGGAAGGAACGTAGGAGAAAAATGAAGGACAGGGTAAAAAATTTCACAAGTAATGTACGTATTACCTTACTATGTGAGTGTAACCCCTCTGCCCATCACCTTGATAATTTAGAAAAAGAAAGAAAACAGCCCTACAAATATCAAATATTTTGAAAAGTTAAAAATATATAAATATATCCTGTTGAGGTCTTTTTGGTTTCTCTTGTTTTATGTTGAAAATCAGACGACTAAATAATTTTTATTTGAAAAAAGAAAAGCTTAAATGATCCCTTGACCTTATTAGTCCTTGAGGTATTCTGTCCCTGAGTCAAAATTGAATTGCATGTTGGGTATGGAGAGATCCTAGAAACAGTGTGTAATGAAGTGGTCGCTAACACAATCTGCCTAGTGAACTGAATTTCAATTCCTGGAATCTCTGGGAAACGTAGAAGGTACGTTTGAAAGATTCTAGAACACATTACACGTAGTGGTATTCTCATCCAAAAACAAGCACACAAGTAATAAAATCTACTTGAGGTAACTACCATGTCAGATTTTTCAGAACGACTGTGAGATCTCCTTCTAGCTGTCTAGAGGAGCAAGGTGGGCAGGAAGGGATGGGTGACAATGTTGAAAGGGGTGACATTGACCAAGATGTATTACTAGGCTGCTCTGTCCTTTGTAAACTAAAGATAATTTTTAATGCTTGTTGCCAGGTTCTAGTGGCTCACACCTGTAATCCTAACTCCTCAGGAGGCTGAGCAATCTGCAGATCACCATTTGGAGGGCTGCTTTCCTACCCAGCCCAGGTAGGAAAATTTGTGAGACTATAATCACCACTTAAGCACCAAAAAAACTAGAGGTGGAGCTGTGGCTCAAGTGGTAGAGTGCTAGCTTTGAACAAATAAACCTCAGGGACAGTGCCCAAACTGAGTTCAGGCCTCAGGCCTCAGGACACACACACACAAATGCTGTTGACACAGTGACTTCTATTAATTAGTCTTCAAACACCTCCAAGTTTATATAATTGCTATTAAGTTGTCAAAAACATAAGTTTCATAAAATAAATGAATTTGGAACAAACGTCCCGCCCTCAGTATACATACAGTTTCGACAATCAAAATCTAATAGGTTAATTGCTTGTGAATATTTAAATTCTTGCAGAGATTCTTTTAAAAGGCTGATTTTAACCTAAACAAATACATATGCATATATAAATAGAAATCTTAATATATTAGCTTTCATAAAATACTTGAATTAAATAGTAAATACATAAGGAATTATTTTTTCAAGACAAATGTTTAAGGTATATTGAACTACATAAAAGTTTGAGAAAAATCAAAGAAATCCCTTTCTTTTTGCTGAATTAGCAACATATGAATTGTGATTCATGAGCTACACAACAACTCAATAAAACAACACAGCAGACTAACAATATATAAAAGAAATATCTCTATTAAAAAAATCTATCTGTAACAGTTATTAGTACAATGCTTTATTAACAAAATACATTTGATGGTATAGTTTTATTAAAGAAAAAATTCAACATAGACAACTTTTAAGGACTTTCAATCACAAAATTTACAGTGTTTTTTTAATTACATAAAATTCCTTTTGGTAATAAAGTTCATTTACAGTTAAGATTAGCAGTTATCTATTGGGGGGAAAATCGATGAAACATAATGTGAAACCTTCTGCCAGTATAGAGAAATTTAAAAATTAAGGAAAAAAATCCACCCAGTGCTATATTTGCTTTGATTCTGAAATCGAAGCACCTTAACAAAAACACTTCTATTATCAAGACAACATGGCTAGCACAATTAATTGTGCTCGCATTTTAAAAGGATTTTTTAACATGTAAATTTTATTATTTATCATTAAATTATTCAGAGACTCCTTCATACAATTAATGTATGCTAATAAATGAAAATAGAGGCAATAATTTGTTAATAGACTAATGCACATAGACCAATTTATCATGCATAATAATTCAGCAATAGGATTGTTTTGGTTATTCTATTGAAGACTACATCAAGAAAGGATATAAGCAAAAATCCACTTTACAGAGGGGAATATAGACAGAAAGTCAGGGAAGTGGATCCAGCAAGATCCTATGTATAAATTCTACAGAATTTTTTTTTGTTCAGAAAATTGGTCAATTTAAATGGCCAAATGGCAGAAGAGTAGAAATGGTATTTTTCTATGATAAAATAGATAAAAAAGTAAACATAACACTAACAGAGAACGACAAGAGTAAATGAAAGCTTATATTAGAGAAAATGACCAGGATAATAAAAGTAGTAAAATATATATCAAGATAAATTTTCTATATATTTTTATTGTAAAGCTACTGTACAGACGGGTTACAGTTACATGAGCAAGGTAATGAGTCCATTTCCTATTGAGCATTGTTACCCCCTCCTTTGTTCAAGATTCAGATTTGAACTCTGAAACAATTTGGTTTGAAATCTCAAAAGAAAGTTAAGAAAAATAGACCAAGTGACACAAACTTTTCCAAGAACTAAGTTTAGAGATTTTTATCTGTACAACAAAAAAAAAAATCTCTACATTCTAGTAAATCATCCACTTACTAAAGTAGCATGTGCTCTACTAAAATTTGCATGGTTTTGTTAGCTATTATGGAAATGGAGCTAATGTAGATCAGCAAAAGTGCTGAAGGTTGTAATGTTTTTAACTAGCTAGCAAAAACAACAAAGAAAAGTAGGACTACTCAAAAATTTTTATATTTATTAAAAGCAGAACACTAAGGATTTTTTCATATTTCAAGATTTAATTAAACAGAAATAAAGGATGTGGTTATAGGTGTGAAAGGAGTTTCATAAACGTTATATAGTAAATTAAGACTTGAGAAATACCACAGTGAGAAAAATGAAGATTAATGTTTAAGAAAATCAAACAACAAGATTTAACTGTCATAGTGAAAATGACTTCACTATTCCTTTTCTGGAGTGGAATATGGCATGTAAAATAGAAGCAAGAGAATTCTGTTGAGAGGAGTGCAAGAATTGTTAAGAGAAGAAATTATGTTCACCCCTAGGACTTCAGTATTTACACTAAAATAGGAAGTTCAGCCACTCCCCTTCAATACATTCTGAACAGTCAAGTAGAAGCGTCCAAGGCACTTTCCACATGAAAGGCAGACTGATTCCTGCCATATGGTTTCATTTAGGTCAACAGCACTCATATTTAACATACTTTCAGTCCAGCTCATGTATCATTCTGCTATGTGTCCTTTCAAAGCAATTCGGGTCTATGAAAACTTTTAATAATAAATGAAAACTCCAGAGTAGTGAAGATGCTTTAAACGGAAGAACTGAACATTTAAAACAAGGCTATTTCTTTCCTAATCTTATGCAGTTGAAAATTTTATTAGTGGCAGTAATTGATTGTAAACATCAATGATAGCCCTGATAGAAAATAACTCAACATATGATTTTTTTCAACGTATGATTTATTCTTCAATGTTTTACTTACTGACACAGTTAGATTCTCCCAAATTATGTCAGAGGCAGAAATATTGGATTCCCTCCATTCCTTCAAGGTACCATTGCTGGGGTTATGTGGCGCCACACAGTTACAGCTGAAAAGACAAAGTAATGTCTTTTGAGAAATAAGTGGCTTTTGAGGTTACAGCATCCACAACATTTGTCCATACAACAGTTGCATGGTTAGATCACCCCACTACTCTAAGACAGGCTACTTCAAAACTCAAGACAGACATAGTGCTTGCATTCCATATCACTCTACAGCATTTCTTGGAGTGAGAGATCCTTGCCACAACTCCTTGTCTGTAAATTATAAGCCAAGTGGAAAAATGATAAGCAGCAAAATATATAATATTATTTTAAGTACTATTCTAGGTAATTTTGTATAACTATACATGTACATGAGCAAGGTAATGAGTACATTTCTTATCAAGCATTGTTGTCTCCTCCTTTGTTTTTTCCCTACCATCTCTTCCCTCCCACTCCACAACTACACTGTGCTCCTCCCTCCCCACTAAATTGTAAAGTTCGTTTTTCATCATAGTGTCTTGTATATCTCACGTTGCAATGGGTCAACTTGTATTCCTATTTAAACAATTTGTTTTTTCCCTTCTACTCCCCAAATTATACTGACATCAAATACAGTGAAAACAGGGGTTATACCGTGAAGAAGGGACATACAAAGCAACAAAAAAATCACATGGTACCTTATAAATACATTAGAAACAATAACAAGAAAGAAAAAAAAACCACTGTGTCCTTATCTTGGGGTTCATTTCGCTTGACATCATCTTATCTGACCTTTTCTGCTTGTCCCAGATATACTAATTATTGTAAATAAGGAAAACCACGGGATCTATGTTTCTTTGGGCTGGCTTACTTCATTTAGCATAATTTTTCCAAGTCTTTCCATTTCCTAACAAATGGGGCAATGTCATTCTTTCTGGCGGAGGCATAGAATTCCATTGTGTATGTATACCACATTTTCTTGATCCATTCATCTACTGAGGGGCATCTGGGTTGATTCCATATCTTAGCTATGGTAAATAATACTGCAATAAACATAGTTGTGCTGGTAGCTTGAATATGGTATTGTTTGTGATCATTTGGGTACATGCCCAAAAGTGGGACTTCTAGGTCATAGGGAGCTCTATGTGGAGTCTTTTAAGAAAACTCCATACTACTTTCCAAAGTGGTTGAACAAGTTTAAGACACATTCTATAAATGTAGTTGGCTTCCAAGATCACCACATGCACTATATAAAGTTCATTTGACTGTTGTCTTTGTTATGTTAATAGAACGGTTGGAGCTAACCACTATTGCTAGAATTATTTCCATAGAAAAAGAGCTTACAGTTTGTACCTGGTAAACTTCTCATGCTACAGTATCTCTTTTCTGTCTTCAACATCAAGAATTTACGTTTCTAATGTTTAAACCATTTTATGCTGCCTCAAGATGTAACTTGGTGCCATTTTCATCATGACAGCCAAAATAAAGTCATCTAAGTTTCACTGTGTTTTCCTTCCAGCTGCCCTTTTCAGAATGTCTATTCTTTAAGAAAATTCCTCATATCCCCCTGCAGCCCTGCCTCCGAATCATGACAATTACTTTCTTAGCAGCAACCTCAGCACTGATGGACATGGGCAGTGTCCTATTTTCAAACTCCATACAAACTGTGGTATGGATTCTTCATCTACCTTGCTCACCCTGTATTACATTCCCTCAGGGCCATGAGCTCTGTTGTCCAAAATGATTGTCCCATGTTAGTGGGGGCAGGGGTACGAGATGTTAGTGCATTCCTAGTGTATAGTCACATTAATACAATGGCCTTCTGAAAATGCTGAGCCATAAATATCATGTAAAAGCAGCAAATAGTAGGGAGACATAGCCTGTGGAGTAAGGCCCACAAATAGACATTAGCCCCCTATGTGTTCTTGGCAGCACCCCCTGGCACACTTCCTCCATACAAAAATCAATCTAAATTGAAAGAGCCCATTTCAACGGGAAATACTTATTTTATTCATCACAGACATTACATATAGCTAGATAATTTTGGAGTCCACACATCTCATATCTGAAATCTCAGCAGATAGTTCTCACAAGTTGCCTAAATAGGAAAATTAGAAAGGACCTCAACCAATCCGTGGTGGCTGGAAGAAAGCGTCTGGCTGATTTATCAAGAATACAGTGAGGGCTGTGGGAAGGTGGCTCAGTGGTAGAGCGCTTGAGGCCCTGGATTCAGTTCCTCAGCACCACATAAGCAGAAAAAAAAAGCCGGAAGTGGTGCTATGGCTCCAGTGGTAGAGTTCTATCCTTGAGCTGAAGAGCTGAGGGACAGCGCCCAGGCCCAGAGTTCAGACCCCATGACCGGACCCCTCCCCCCCCACAAAAAAAGAATACAATGAGAAAAATGCTATTTCTATCTTTTCTCTGTACTACTGAATTCATTTCAAATTGTTCTAATTCAAAACTACAAAAAGTAAAGAAATGAAAAACACAAGTAGTACTATCAGCTAGAACATGAGCTCTGAAACGAATGATTCATCTACAACAATTTCTCATGAAAAGAAATGAGCTAGGGGCATGCTGTAACTGAGATACTGAGCCACCCAGCCAAACTTCATATACCCATTCAAATCCAGGCATTTAGCTAAATGACTTTGGACCAGGTTTTTAAGCATTTTGTGTTTCATTTTTTTCTTTTAATTTATAAAATGGAGATGATGGTAATAACGGACTTGCAGGGTTATGATGAGGGCAAATGAGTTCATATGAATTAAAGTACCTGAACAGCCCCTGACATAAGTCAATACTACTATTTATGTGTCATCTTTAAGAGTGGATGTTGTCAACACAGTTAATATCACAAGTTCCTGAACTGGATAGTCAGGCAATCACAAGGCAGGGACAAAAGGGTAGTATTATTTGTTTATTTTTATTTTCTCTGCATTAAAAAAAACTCAGTATAAAATGTAACAATTTTGACTTGTGGTGTTGGATCACTTGCCTTAAAATTCTTTTAAAACCAAATTCTTTAGCACTTTTTATTTCTTAGAGAAAAGTAAATTCTCTAAGCCATCTTATTTATTCTAATAGCCACAGAGTGATTAGATAAACACTATAATTAAATGCCCTCATCCAGAAGTTTTTGCATTTGCTTCAAGGCTAATGGAGGTGATCAATCTTCCTTACACTAGGAGAGTCTGAAGCTGTCTTCTGGAAAACATAATTTGGTAGAACTCCCTCAACATTGTTACTAATTTTAGTCCCTGGGCTGCAGATGTTCTCTTCTTGGTTTTGTAGTTATTAATAGCACTCTCCTGTGTGCATTGAACAATAATGGTCTGGTATTCATTTCTTTCAAGCCTCCTTATTGACTAAATTAGCCCCCAGAGTGCTGGATAGCAAGATAGGTATTAATAAAAGTTATAAACGCTGAGAATTACAATCTGTAAGTCAAACATGTTTATGATTATTCTTTTTTAGTTCAAAAGTAGTTTGAATTACAAAAATAACTACACTATAGAATCATTATAAAAGAAAAAAAGCAAAAGACATCTGTCCTATTATTTCAATTAACAACTACTATAATTTGTAGTATATTTGTTTCAGTAGTTCGAGTGCATATTTTCAATATATTTTTATAAGTATATAGTATTTTACACCTTTTTAAATAGCATTATAATGTAATTTATCTCCAGGTTACTATATAACCCTCTAGAATCATCATTTTGAAGAAATGTAATTGTTTCTTATTCTTCTGTAATTAAACATTTAGTTTTTTCTTATTATATCTTCAGCATAGTTATTTTGCTAGTTATTTTGTTTTGTTTTTTTTGTTTTTTGTTTGTTTTTGCCGGTTGTGGGGGCCTGAACTCTGGGCCTGGGTGCTGTCCCTTGGCTCTTCAGCTCAAGGCTAGCGCTCTACCACTTGAGCCACAGCGCCACTTCCGGCTTTTTCTGCTTATGTGGTGCTGAGGAATCAAATCCAGGGCTTCAGGCATGCAAGGCAAGCGCTCTACCACTGAGCCACCTTCCCAGCCCTGCTAGTTATTTTGGAAATGGAATCTTGTATACTTTTCTGAGTGGGTGGGCCTAAAACAGTAATCATCTTCAGTAGCTAGAATGATAGGTGTGAATCACCAGTGCCTAGCCAGAAAAGTAACTTTTTAAAGAATATGTCCTCTGCTGGAACTATCCTAGACTTATACTAATGATTACAAATGAGGTAAACCAGGTAGCTTATATTTCTTTGGGTCTGGCTTACTTTACTTCATGAGATTTTTTTCCCAAGTCTTTCTATTTTCTTATGAGTAGGGCAATGTCATTCTTTCTGATGGAAGCATAGAACTCCACTGTGTATATAGCAGAGGATCACAATAGCTCAGTAGTTATGTACATAAGACCTTATAAAATGATGCTAATCGAAATGAGCTACAAGGTATAGAGACAAGAAGGTTTTTTCCTTAATGTACTCTATGCAGTTATTTATTTTTTCTTCAGTTTTTATTTTTCCTTTGTTTTACCTCCTGTTGTCACTGTTTCTTATATTGGTACCCTTTGTATTGTATATAAGTTTATCTGATTTGGGGATGGGAAGGGGAATCAGGAATGGTGAGACAAAGGGTGAACCAATGGAACAGTGATACTCACTAGACACTATGTTGGAAATGAACTTTACAAATTGCAGGGAGGAGGAGAGAAAGGATAGTCGGAGAAAATGGGTAGGGGTAACAATTACAATGTTCAATAAGAATTGTATTCATTTCCTTACTTATGTAACAGTAACCCCCTTTAAATCATCTTTAGAATAACAAATAAAGAATATGTCACATATCATTGGAAAACATCACCATCATTTGAAAATACTAAAAATATAAATACTATATCCATTATATTCTTATTTTTTTCTCATTTGGATTTCATTTCCATTCAAATAGGCATAGCTTTACCTTGAGCTCCAAATTCACAAGTTTTGAAATATTTCTCATCCTTTTGACACCTCATGTCATTGTATGATGGCAATTATATTAACTATAATCAAATGTTCACTTGTGCAACAATGTCTGCTTCAGCAGACAATAGGTTCAATGAT